AACCCCAACCCCAACCCCAACCCCAACCCCAATTTTATTAATTTTTAATATATGCTTTTTTGAATTTTGATATTTTTTGAAAATTGAATTAGCTAGTTAATAAAAAAGGAGCAGTAATAAATGAATCTTTTGGTATTTTATTTTTGAATTTATTATGAAATATATTTAAAATAAATCATATCAATTAAATCAAATCAATAAAATCTTGATTGAAAAAATATAAATTTTAAGTTTTAATTTTAAAGAAAATACAACGACAAAAATAGATTTGAAAACAATAGTAAGTAATTAAAGATAAGCAAAGCAATAATGAATAGTAATGATTTGAATGGCTGGCTTGTTCAGATATTTACCCTTTATTTATTAATTAGGTCTTTATTAAGAGAGAGTTACAAAAGTATTTGACAGACTTTAAAACATTTAAGTAATGATATTTAAAAGTTCAGAAAATAAATAAATAAATTATTAATACTAAAAATTCTTAATATGGTATTATAAATCCAATTTATTTACTTATTCATTTAAATCAAAAGACCAACGTAGATTCTGAAAGATAAACAAAATGGAAATTCGCTTTATCCATTATTGAGAATTTAGAAAGAAAAGTTGATGAAATATATACTTCTAAAGTGGACAAGTTTGAAGCATTAAATGATAAAGTAATTCTATATTTGATGAATATATTTTAATAAAATTTAAGGCACATACAAATATAATAACAATTTAAATGCTATATTTTGTATTTAAGAATAGACTATGTCAAAATTTAAAATGCTTTAAAATAATTTATTTATTTATTTTAAATTTTATTAAGATTAAAGCTCTTTTTGATCATCTTCACCAACAAAAAACGATATAAGTGAGACTTGACACAGAAGTTTAAGAAAATATTGAATAAACTAAAAAAAATTGCGTTAACCTTCTAGATAGTTTCACAAAGGTAAATATTAAAATATATCTTTTTTTAAGATGGAAATTATTGGTTTTAAAAATTAGTTTGTTTTTAAAATTATTAATTTATATGATAAGATATGTAGAAAATGCTAATTAAATAATTTTTATTTCTATTTATAATTTTTTAATTGAAAAGGAAAGAGAAGATAGTGAAAGAAGAGTATACTAGAAATTGAATACTTAAATAGACAATTTAACTATCGAAATTTAAAGAAATTACTAAGAGAGAACAGCTTCTTAAAACTATTTATAAAGCTAACTTGAAGATGAGCTTCCTCGTTTTGAATAAGAAATTAAATAAGAGAGCTAATTTAGATAGGATTTAGAATAAAGAATCTATTAATAATTTAGTGAGTAAATTTCAGAGTTAAAAGAAATGTTCGAAGTTGAAAGAAAAGAACGTGAATAACGTGAAGAAGAATTAATTAATATCCTTAAAGTAATCTATACTAAAGTAAATGAAGCTATTGCAAGATGCAAAAGTGACAGGTAATTTATTAATTAACTGATGATATTAATTTCAAATTAATTTTTTCTTAAATTATGATTGATAACAGAGAAAAAAGTGAAGAAATGTTAGTCAGACTTGTCGAATAAGTAATTGAAAAAATCAAAAAGGAATTAAGCGAGTCAGATTATTGATCTAACAAACAAATGTTTTTTTCTCATTCATGTGAATATAAAATTTTAAAACTTATGATCAACTTACTGCATGAATTAATAAAGAATATCAATAGAATTATAAATAAAAACATTAGCATTTTTGAGACATAAACCATCCTTTCTTTAAATAAAATTAAAGATATGCTTTAGTATTTTTCTGATTAAAATTTTGAAATTAATAATTATATATATCAATCATACTGTCTTTAAATGATTTGTTTGTACTGATAAATTAGTTTTCAATTCATTATTATTAATTATTATTATTTTATATTTTATGCGAGCTTAATTTACAAATCAATGAACGAATTTAATGAATCTGTTTAGTTACTATTTTTGAAATAAAATAATTTTATCTAAATTAAAAAAATTTTACACAATATAATTTATTTAAGATTAGTGAGGATAATTAAATAAATTAAGAGAAACTAATTTTTAATTAACTTGCATTGATAAATAGACTGTATTATTTATCTTTATTATACTATAAACATATAATAAAAAAAATAAAACAAAAGTTTATTGATTTATTTAAATTTTATAAATAAAATTATTTAACTTGTTTGTTGAATGAGTATTGAGAATACTTAGTTATTTTGGAATTAAAGTTTGCATGAGAAATATGAGCATAATATTTTAATTTGTATATGTTAATTAAACAATCAAATCTGATATGGAAATAAATAAATTAAGAGGTATAATCAGGAAGGAAGCAAATAAATAATTTAATGAAAATAGGTAATTATGGAATAACTTTAAATGGAAAATCCAAAAATATTTTAAAATATTATTTTTTCATATAGCTAGGTCAGTAAAAGACAGTTATGAGGAAATATGAGAATGCGATAAGCAAAAATGGTTGCCAAATTGAAGGATTTGCAGGGCAAATTAAATTTGAAAAGAAGTGGGGGTAAAATTAAAGACTTATGGGGAGAAGAGAAATTTTGCAAAAGGGTTAATATTGAAGGTGTATTTAAGAAAAAGGATATAAATAAATAAAGAGGTAAATAAAAAGGCTTTTTAATTAAAAGAAAAAAGATTAAAATAAAAGAAAAGCAAAACAAATTAAAGATTAATAATCAAAATGGGTATTTCAAGAGATAGCAAACACAAGAGAAGAGCCACCGGTGGTCGTATGCCTGTTCACAGAAAGAAGAGAGCTTTCGAAAAGGGCAGACCCATCAGTATGACTAAGTTAACCACCCAATCTACTACCATCACTGAAAAGAGAAGAATCAGACCCGTCAGAGTTAGAGGTGGTCACTTGAAGTTCAGAGCTCTCAGACTCTGCGAAGGTAACTTCTCTTGGGGTTCTGAAAACATTACCAGAAAGGTAAACCATTCTTTTTATTAATACAAATTATTTTATTCTACAATCGCGAAGATAATGAAATTCTACTATATTAACAAATGTTGATTTCTAAGATGCCGCCAAGCAGCACATTAATTACATTTAGAAATTTTCTTTTTGCGTTTTCCCTAATTTTATTATATCAGATCATCATCTCCTACTCAAAAAAAAAAAAATCTATTTTATTATCGATGAAAACAAACGAGCAATAAAGTTGAATGTTTTGAAATAAATGTCAAGATGAATATTTATAGCCAAATAATGATATAAATCTATTAACTTCTAAAGTAGTGTTTCTATGATTACAAAAATTGGTATTTGCGCTTTTACTTAGAAAACAGATATCTATCTTATCAATCAATAAATTTAGTAAAATTGTTCACTAAGTACAAAATAACAAATCTGTTTAATAATCCAATGACAAAGCGTGAATTCTAATCATTAAAACAATTACTAATTACCAGACTTAGTCATAAACATTAATAGGTTAAGTATCAGGATGAATTTGATAAATAAATAGTTAGGCATTCACTCATTCATTCATTAATTAAACAGAGACAATTAATTACATTTTCCTACAAGCATCAATCAATTAGCATTTTAGCTTTTCAAAAATATCTGAAAAAAACTAATAGTAATCTCAAAGGGCAAGAAAGTAAAACAAAATGGAAACGACAATTAAGAAAAAACGTTTATTATAGGAATCTAAGTGCTAGGAGAATTCAATAAATGAATTAATCATTTTTAGCTAATTAACTAACTATTATATTTTTGTAAAGTATATCAACTATTTTAAATTAAATAGCTTAATTAAAATATACAAAAATATCTAGAATCTTTAGTAGCATCCTTAAAAACTTTAATAAGCCAAAACAGCAAATGAATAACATAAAAAAAATCACTAAAAATTTAGGCTAATACCTGCTAAATTTAAAGCAATTTAAAACAATTTCTCTTATTAACAGACAAACTAACAAACATTAGGATTAAATATAGCTGTTATATTTAGATAATTAGTTGATAACTTAAGTGAAAAAAAACAATTCAATTTTTTTTTTGCACACCTTGCATCGATAATAATAAATATTTTTAGAATTTTTTCTTTTTGAGCATTCCAGTTAAATAATAGTAGCTAGTGTGCTGTTTCATCTGATTAATTTATTAGAATTTCATCGCATTATCTATCTATCTAAATAAATAAATAAACAAACACTAATAATAAATTTAAATTTAAAAAAATAGACTAAGATTCTCGATGTTAAGTACAACGCCACTAACAACGAATTGGTCAGAACCAAGACTTTGGTCAAGAACAGTATCGTCGAAATCGATTCTACCCCCTTCAGAGAATGGTACAAGCTCCACTACGGTATCGATCTCGGTTTAAAGAAGGATAGAACTGTCCTTGGTAATAAGGAAAAGTCTAGACACGTCCAAAAGAGAGTTAAGAGAACTAAAGCTTAAGCCCTTGAAAAGAACATCGAAGAATAATTCGTTTCTCAAAGAATCTTAGCTTGTATCACCTCCAGACCCGGTCAATCTGGTAGAGCTGACGGTTACATCCTCGAAGGTAAGGAACTCGAATTCTACATCAGAAAGTTACAATCTAAAAAGAAGTGATTAAGTTGAACATATTGATCATTAAAATGATAATTTATATATGAGAAAATATATACTCCAAGATTATAAATAACTTAAATATATATCTCATTTTTTGTCAGTAACTCGTTTTTAATGCATATGTTTATCTAAAACTATTTAAACTATATATTACTCATCACCTTACAATTCTAAAATCCTTTCAAATATCTCCTCCCTCCTCTTACTATTATTTTAACTATATTAACTTATATACTTATTATGTTTGTTTTTGTATGTGCTAAACTTTTTAAATAAAATCAATTGCTTATATAGTAAGCATTGTATCTATTTATCTGAATTTACTTTCAAGGTAATTAATATATATGAATATATCTATCTTTTTTAATTTCATTATTTATTAGTTAATTCTGTTGCTTGCATGTAATTTTTGTTCATAAATGAAAAAGCAAGCGGAATGAAATGAAATCAAATAAAAGTAAAAAAAATATCAATTAATTAAACATTTAAATTGAAAATATAATATATAAATAAATATTTCTTACTTTTTGTTTATTATTTTTATAAATATTCAATTTCATAATTTTAATTGAAAATTAAATATCTTACAAAAAAATTATTTATTATTAATCTAAGATTTCTTTTTTTAGCTACAGAGGAATTATTTTATTCATACAAAATTTTACATACTCTAGTGAGGAATGCAATATCAAAAAAATTAAGAATTTTTGAATTTTTTAAAAATTTATTGATTGCTTCAAATTAATTTAATTAAAACATTTTATTTACTATCCCTCTAGAAAAAAGTTTTTACCAAAATTCAACAAAGAATTTGAGGTCTTGAAAAATTATCAGATATATTAAAAAACTTAGAAGAATTATTAATTGAATAATTAATTTTTTTAAAAATTAAATTTAACTTCAAACATACAAAATAAGTATAAATAAGATGACAAATTATTTAAACAGATTTTTATTTATTTACATTGCTAATAAATATATTATATATGTGTATGTGTGTGTGTTTGTTTGTATGTATGTAAGTATGATTCAAAATGTTTAAGATTTACTTATCATTCATTTAATTTGTAGCTTATCATACTTATTTGTTTGTTTGTTATTTAAATTTTTTTTAAAATAAAGTTTTAAATTATAATTAAAATTGAATTGTTTAAATATTATATCTCTCTTTGAACACTGATAAAATAAAATTAATATCTAAGTCTCAAGCCAAGAGCAAATCCTTCTTAAGTACTTGAACACTTGTAATTTTCCATTGATAGTCAGCATTCTCTTCTGTTTCATCAAAAATACAAATTACTTAATATCCATTAGTCATAATCCTTTCTAAAGATCCATCTTTTATTATTTTTTCATCTTTAGCATCTACGAAGCAATGGTTAGTTTAGAAATATATTTAGAAATTAAATTCTGGCTAGTTAGAGCTATTAATTTCGCAAGAAGAGAAAACTGGCTTTTCTGTGCCCCAAATTCTAGAAAATTTAGGTTTCATTTTCTTTTTTAAATTAAATGAGTGAATTAATTTTTTTTAGAAACTTAAAATATTAATTAATTAATTACTTATAATCCCCAAATATTCCAAACTGCTCTAAAGTATCCTAGAGCTTACTCTTAGACAATATTATCTACTTCATATATCAAGCCCTTAAGATGAGCTGTGTAAACGGTTTCAAATGTACTCTAATTAATTATAAAGTATATAGTTAAAAAGGTTTATGAAATATATAATTTATGAAATACCTTAACATGTTCTTCTAAATCTTCAACGCTGAATTCTTTATCATATTTTCTTATAAATTCTAAACATTATTCCATTTTAGTATTCTTCTAAGTATTATCCTTTTATTTAATTTAAATGTCAATTAACAAATCATTTAGGAATATATGAAAATAGATCTATCGATCTATTTATTTATTTACCAGTAAGAAGGCTGCACCACCGTAAAGGGAGGTAGCATTAGATGCCATCTAATCATTATAAGATTCTTTTATGCCTGATGTGCTTTCTTGAATTTCTTCTTTACTCTTTTTCATCTCTTCTAATATACTAAGATCGATTATAATACGTCTTTTATCTTCTTCAGACTTAATACCAAAACCGAATATTTGTTAATTATTTAACCACCACAATCTCATTTTTCTTCTCATTTATTCCTTAGGATCTTTAGAAAAAAATAAATAAATTCATAAATTTTTATATTTGGTAACAAATAAAAGATTGATTAATTTACCAAACTTTGCAACAGTAAACATAGTCAACCTTTCTTTTTCTGATAACTTGCTTAAATCAACTTATTCTTTGTTTTTCATAAATTGGTCAAATTCGTCTTTAAGACAGAAAATGTGATGACGGTAGGCTTTTCTACGATAAGCCTCAGTTTAGCCTAAAAAGTTTTTAATTGTTTCTGCTCTATTCCATCCAACATGATTTAATAACCTAATTCTTTCTAATGCTTCAGTTTCATTATTAATTTAAGTATTCTTCTTAACAGGCATATCATCTTCAGGTAAATCTTAAAGTATAGCTAATCCAGTATTAAATTAATTTAATTATCTAAACTTTTCTTGAATCTAATCGTTGTTAAGTTCTTCCTTGGCTTCTTCAGGATCTTTTTTAGTTTCCTCTTCCTTACTTTCACTTTCCTGCTTATTTTCTTCGGTTTCTTTATAAATAATATTGCCATATTAATCTTACTCAAATTCAACATGTAATTTTCCAAACTATTTATCTAATCTGTGTTTCATTTGCTTTTTTTTAAAAACTTTAATTACAAAAGTATTCTTACTCCTATAAAAACTATACCTTATAAAGTTCCCATCTAGTCATAGTGTAATAATCAGGAAGTCTTTAATGAAACATTTTTTAGAGTTCATTATGCAAAATGGGAAGTGATTAATTTAATAAACGTCTATTATATCCCAAGTTAACCATCAAGGTTTCATAGTATTCCATCTTTTATTCTAAACTAATAAATTAAAAGCATAAAATTAAATAATTTTCTTAAATCTATTTTAAAGGCATTTCTATAATTTAAATATATTGTTTATAATTATTTAAAAATCTTTACAGTTTTTTATGGAAAACAATGCACTTGATCATTTAAAGTTTAGCTGCAATTCTACCTAATATGCTATTTTGATTGAAGTACATATAATACATTAAATCTACTTCGTCTACTTCTTCTTATTCTGATTAAAACTAATTGATGATTGCAATATCCATTTCTGTTCTTTCTTCATCAGTTAATTTATCATACTTTGCTCTCTCTTTTATTTCTTATGCCATTTTTTTCTCAGTTAAATTTTTTAATCTCTTAATCCTGTATCTTTCGACCCAATCTCTGGCTTCGTCCATGGTCTAAAAGATATTAAAGTTGTTAATTTTTTCATATATTTTTTTAGCTCCCATTTTTTCTTCATTTTAATCTTACTCTGTTTTATTTTCTGTCTCATTTTAGTTTTCTTTATTTTAAACTTTTTTATCATCTTATTTTTCTTATTTTTATGCTTTTTAATCATCGCCTTTTTTAGCATCCTTTTAATCATTCTTGCCTGTATTGCTGAAACTATAAATTGGTTAGTATGCTAACTTATTTTAAATTATATAATTCTATTTCTTAAGCAAGCTGCTTTTGCTATGTAAGCGATCTCCGCTTATAAGAACTTTCTACTTATTTTAAACATGATTAGCAATCAAGTAAATTTATTTTAAAAATTAAAATAAAATATAAACGAATGAAAATATTACCTAAAGATTAAGCTAAAATAATTTTCTAATCATCTTATATTTATAAAAATTAATAATGCAAAGACTGACTGGCTTATCTTTTATTAACTGATTTTAAAATAGAAATTTTAGCTCCTACAAAAGATGTGTATTAATTAAGTAGATGAAGATACTTTTAATTTAATCCTTTATAAATCTTTTCTTTTTATCTAATTATTTTTCGAATTCAATAGAATATATCAATCAAACAATCTTTCACTTTAAATGAACAAATTTCTTTATAATTTAATTGATGTCTTTCAATTAGCGATTACATTAACTTTTTCCAGAAAGTTTATTTACCTTCATAAAATCTGTTTATATCTTCCTTATAAAATTTATAAAGTAAAGGAAACTCTCTTAACTAAAATTTGCTTAATTTTGTTATACCACAAAAATTAAAATTCCCTATCATTGAATTATTTATTTTATAACATTATTAGATAGATAAATATTTTTTTATTTAACTGCTAAGATTTTACTGTTCAACTAAATAACTGAAATACAAAAAGTATTTATCTGCAATGCTATTTTAACTCTTAAAAATCGATAAAATGTTCATATATTTTCCCTTAAATCAATACTCATAACTTTATTTAAGATTAAAAAATATTAACTTAACTGCTATAATTATTTTTCGATTTTAAGGATTTGTTCTTTATTGATTTAAATTTGCTGTCTATAATTCTAATTTATAAATTTAAAAATAATTTTAAAGAATTTTTAATTTAAATAACTAATTATTAAGGGAAATCAGTTTAAAATATTAAATGAAAAATTAAGTTTAATCGGCCTTATAGTATTTAAATTCAACAAAATTTGTCTTTTTAAGGAAAATAAAAAAATTAATAGATGGTCTCTTATTTTTAAAATAGAATTTTCTTTTTCTAGATTTAATTTAAGATAAATTTTAAGTACAATATAAAAATAAATTAATTATTTTTGTATTATTAATTGAAAGTAGTAATAAAGCATAAAAAAATATGACAAATTTAAATTTAAATTATTTTCTATTCAGAAAAATTAAAATCTTTTATAATAAAAATATATGAATTTTTTTTAATTAATGAATATGTTTATGAAATATTTAAAATAAAAACAATATTTTAAGTGTTTATATATTTTATTTGAAAGATGATATTCTAAATGAATTTGAAGAAAAAATGTAAATTAAGAATTTTTGTTAATTATTTATTTTAAATAAAGAGATTTATCAAGCAAAAATAATTAAAAATCCTTAAATACAATATAAATTCATAATAAATCTGATAGACTATTTTTTTAATTTTTAGAAACTAAAAAAATTTTATGTAAATGCAAATAAATACTTTATTAATTAATTAACAAACCAACTAACTAACTAAATTTCATCTAGGTCCATTTTGTGCTAATTTTTTAGTTTACTTTTATGATTGCTTTAAGGTTTCTTATATTTTTTTACTTAATTCTATCAGTCTTTAGCTCACTGATAATCCAGTTATTGAAGCATTAGAGTTTGCTGATTTTTAAGTAGGAGTAGATTCTAATTTCTATGCACTTTCACTTTCTTTGATTTTAATTCCTATATTCTTTTGCAAATGCTATTTTATATCTACATTTTAATCTGATTCAATATTTTAATCTGATTGTTGATTACTTTTATCTTTTTCTGGCTCATTTATTTAACTTGCTTAAGAACTAGATTAAATTTAATTTTTTTTAGGTAGTTAAGGTTAAAGGTTTGAGCTAGATAATTGCTATGCAGAAAACTATTATTTAAATTACAATGCATCTAATTTACTAATAGTATTTTCATAGTCAATATTATTGGCACTAAAATGAGATTGCTAAAATCCATTTTAATCATTTTGAATATTTTAGTTATTGTTTATATTTAAAACATTGCTTTATAAGTTAATCTTTTATTAATTTTAAGTATTGTAGATTTATAAATCACTAATCGGCTATTTTTAAGGGCTAACTCTTTTTAATCCTCCAGACTGCTGATCTTGATTTAGGTTTTCTTTTTATGCAGAACTTTATGGTTATGCACCAACAACTATTTCATGTAAGTTATTTAAACATCTTGATGGATGAAGTTGGGTTGGTTCAACTTGGTATGGAGGAGCTTATTTAGCTAAGGGCTCATTTTGAACAGTCCTTATAATCTATGCCCAATCTAATCTAGTACGAGGGTCATGATCAAGCATTTTTAAAAGAATATTTATAAAAGGAACTGAATATTTGCCATGAATTGATTAAATTAAAATCTATAACTAATCAGTTTTCAAAGTGTTATTTGAATAAAGAAGCTCTTTCACATTTTATAAAGTAGCACATTCCAAAATAATCAAAGCAAAATTCCAAACATCAAGTTTGTAATGGTTCTTGAACTATATTAAATCTAATTAAAACAAAAAAAATTAAATTTATATTTTAACATTATAATTGATCAATTGATTCTTACTTAATAAAGAATTATTAGTAACTTAAAAAAATATTTTGCTTTCTTATAAGCATTTTATAAATATCTATTAAGAAATAAGTCCTTCTTTATATGTTAATAGTTTATAATGTTATTTACCATAAGAATTAAATTCAGGAGGAAGCATCCCAGTATCTATAAGGAGACTTTAGTTATTCTTTTAATACTGGTAATATTTATCAGCATTCAAAAGCTAGTTATCATAAATTCTGTAAAGAAGGTATTCGTCATCAAAAAATATGCTAGCCTTATTTAGTTCTCCATGGTGAATTTTTTGTTCCATTAAAAAATTCATCCCTGATGCTACTTCTTTAATTAGAGTCCATAACTCTATTTCAGGATAATGCCAACCATTATCTCTTCTCTTTTAAATCATCTTTTATGTTTACAAATAATTTTATTTGTATAAATTTTCATAATATTTTTTTTCGTTATGATTAAAAAATATTAATTTCAAAATAACGAACGAACTACCTATTCAAGAGAAGTAAAATTATACTCAAAAAAGACATTAAACATTTGCTGATTAGTCTTTTAATTTTAGTGCGATTTTTTTATATAAAAAAATATATTTGGATGCCTCATTTATATCCTTTGTGCGAAGTTTTGAATAAATTATGTAGGTATTGTTTTTGATGCTACATATTTAACGTATGGATGCAATCTATATAAAATTAATTTTCCTAAATACTCATCTTCAATCTAGTCTACTTATTTTATTTCTTCGCATTTTTCTATGATTAAATCTTTTTAATGCATAACAGGCGCCTAACCTTTCACCTCACTCATTAAAAAATATGAAGTCTAATTTTATCTATTAAGTGCTTTTATTTATAAGTTAGTATTATATTTTATTATATAAAATGAATAAAGTGTTTAAATCTTAGATTAATTGTTTGTTTTATATTTAAAATTTTAATATTTAATTCTTTAGTACTTGTTAAAAATTGAATTTTTACTGTCAATAATAATCAATTTTAATCTAAATCGTTTATTTTGTTAATTATTTTCTACTTTAAATAGATATTAATATTATTTTTACATTTTTATGCACCATATTTTTTCACCAAAATTAAAAAATATTTTTATATTTATTTAGATATAATTAATAAAAAATTTTATTAATTTTTAACATTTTATTTGAATATTTTAAATAATTAATAATTAATTGAGGTATATTAATAAATAAATATATTTTATTTTTTAATTCTTTTTTATAAAAATTTTCTTTTATTGAGCATATTCTTTTAATATAAGTTTTTAATATTCTACAAAGTAAATACTTTATAATTTTTAATATTAGAGGAGATAATTCTACAAAAAAAAAGAGGAATGAGTATTGAAGATAAAAAAAAAAAAATTTAGAAACATCTGAATTCTATTTTAAAAATAATAAATAAAGAAGAAGATGTGAAAACATCATAATAGCTCTTTAAACATGTTATAGATTAGCTAGAAACAAGTGTTGTCAGTAAACCTTTAAAATAAGAAGAAGTTAAAGATGTTGCAGATATATCAATTTTAACTTGGAATCTTAATAAGATTGAAAAAACATAACAAAAGCATATAGAAAGAATTTGCTAATTGATAGTGGATATAAATGTAAATATTGTTTGCTTCTAAGAAGTTAAAGACGCAGATGCTCTTACATAAATGAAATAAAAGTTAAATAAGAATAATTAAGTTGATGAAATCTGGGATTGTTAGTACGAAGTAACTGGACCAGGATATTAGGGACCTGAGATAACTGCATGCTTATATAAAAAAAAACTATTTAAATTAAAAGCTGTACTTTATGGAAAATAGGATTTTGAATTTACTAGAAAGCCTTAAATTCTTTATTTTGAAAAGGATGATAGAATATTTACAGTTTGTAACTTTCATTTAAAAGATGGCTCAAGTGGAAAATCATCCTTAGAAAAATTAGAAAAAGAGATTTCAAGCCTTAGACCTTTTTCTGAGTCTTTACAGAAAGATAAATAGGATGGAGATCCTTTTCTGATATTGCTGGTAGGAGATTTTAATAAAAATTTATCAATAGCAAAAGAAGGTTGCTTTGATAATAAAAGAACTGTTTTAGGTACTCCAGTAGATTGCACAATGAGTTAAAAGAGTAAATCTAATTAAAATAGTAAATATGATCAAATTTATGACTAAATTGTTGCTATTTTAGATAAGCCAAAAGAAATTAAACTTTAATAAATATAAATTGATGAATCTAGTATGAAGCTAATGAACGGACACTACATTTCTGATCACCTTGCTATTGGTTTCAATATCAGATTAGTAGATTTTTAAGAAGTTAGTTGAGTATTTAATTATTCAAATAATCCTTAATTTATAATATCTTAGAATATTAAGTAGTTTGATATCTGATTTGTATAAGTAAATGATAATTCAATGAATTAATTAAAATATGACAATGTACAAAAAGTCCTAATAAATTAATTATTAGAGAATTAATAAAAATAAAAATATTTTTTTATTTTAAGAAGATATTTATTTTTTTGAAAAATTATTATAACTAAGCTAAAATATGAAATAGATTATATATATAAATAACACATAAGGATTAATTAATTAATTTTTAAATTTTTGATTACTCTAAAATATTATTTTGATAATAAATTATTTAATTTTTTTGTTCATTCTTGATTCAAGTTGTGCTAATAATTATTGGGAGTTTCATTTGACTACTATCCTTGATAATTTTTTCCTTTCATGATAGAAAATATAGAATCAGGTATAAAGACACTGTTATTTTAATTGATAGTTAATTTGATAGAATCTTTTATTTTTTCGCATTTTTCAGAGATTTATTGATTAGCCATTTTTTAATCATCTTTTTGTTTGAGTCTAAAAATTATAAAAATTATTAAATTTAACATCTATTATTTTCATTAATATAAATTACACTTTCTCTGTATTTATAACTGTCCTTTTTGTAATTAACCTTTTATTTTCTATATAAAAAAATTATATAAAGATTATTATAAATTTAGTTTTTACCTTATGAAGAGTTTATAGGTCTTTATTTAAAATGGGAATAAAGTTTATTTCTTGGGCTCTCTTAAGATTGAGTTCTAGAGTTTGACGTATTTATATAAGAAGAATTTTTTGAGGTAATTGTTTCTTCAGTATTTAGAATTATAGATTTTTTTCTTTGAGATGTTCCACTATTTAAGCTTCTTCTGTTTTGAGTATCATAGAAAGAGAGGCCTTTAGCTTCATCTATTGTTATTCTAGGTATATTAGAAAGTCTTTTTTTCTTATCCAAGAAATATATTTTCATCTACTAATCATCTTATGATGTGTTATTACTAATCGAACTTCTTATCCTGTTATTATGCTTTTTAAAATTATCATACAAGTGATCCATATATTGCTTTTTTTTATCATAATTCTCCTAATTTAATTCCTAAAATGTGGTAACTATATTCTCATCACATTCTCTTTAAGAGTTAGGGCTGAGAGACTACCTACGAGTAATATTTTATTTACCCTCTTATGATATTTAAAAACTATTTCTTTCTGGTGATTTTTTATAAAAATACTCTGCTCTTGTAATAGTTTTTTGTATCTTATTCATTTTATTAACTAGATAATTTGATTGATTTTGCACATTTTATATTTGCTCCTAAGTAAGATTTCCTGTCTATTAGTTTAGGACAAAATCTCTTAAATTCTTCTCTCGACTTTATTTATATTTCAGATAATTTTTTATTTATTTTTTTGAAATCAAAAAATTACTTTGCTGCTTAGTTTCTTTCAGCATAAGGGATTACCTTATCTTAAAGTATTTTTTATTATAAGTAATAAAAAGCTTCATCATTGCTTTGGTCTTGTTCTTCTATATTTATTTATTTAATATAATGTTTTCAGCTAAAAAATCATAAATAAATAAATAAATAAATTTAATTTAATTAAACTAATAATAGTTTTTTTTACTAGAATAAAGATTTAGCATCGTTAGTATTTCTTCCCATTAAAATGACTCTATTTAATCAAGATGTTTTTTTAACAGCTCGAGTCGATTAGCTTTGTCTTTAGAGTCTTAGAATAGTCTATCAAATACTTTCTTCTTTTTGCCTCTGAGTTTATTTATAATTTTAAATCAAATTTATAAAAAAAAATACTTTGTTATTAATAAATTAAAATTACTTTATTGGTTTTGAACTATCTCTTTTAATAGTTATTCCTTCTTTACTAGATAAGTTATTTTTTTTTGTAATAAATTAAGATGTTAATCTATTTTCTGTTGAGTCAGGGCTGGCATAACCAGATTCCTATTATTGCTAATTATTCATATCTACTTTGTAATCTTGCTCTTAAATGAAATCTGCAATATTATTGTATGGTCTACCATCTGTTTCAACTAATTGATGGTCACTTCTTATAGTCTTTTGAGGTGTCATCAAGAAAGAACCCGTGTTTTATAATCTTTAATCTGTAATTACTATTGGACGCTCTTTTAATTTTTGGAGATCTTATTAAAGCATAGCAATTTAAGATAAAAGTTTATTATTTTCTTCTTAACAATTATCAATTTATTTCTTTTAATTCTCAATTGTAGTTTCATAATTAACTAAAAATTCGTTATCTGTCTACGCTTCTTAATCTTCTTTGTCTAACCCCATCTGAGTAAGTGCTTAGAGGAAGAATGATCTAATATGTTGGAAAAAATTAAAACCATCCATAACTAAATTTATATTAAATATAAATTTTACTTTCTATTATTTTAAGGTTCTATAGAAAAAACAGGATTAATGTTTTTTATTTCTTATTGATTTAAATCATCTGCAATGTTATCTTCAAGTTCTGATTCTTATATGCTTGTTTTTGACTCACCTTAAACAGCTTAAATCAAATCTGACTTTCTTGTCGAAGTTTTACGAGATTGACTCCTGCTTTGAGCATTTTACTTGAGTTTCTGAATTTCATCTTCATAGCTTTTCTTTTGCTAAATTATCTCATTCGTAAACTAATTTTGAAGAGTGTCAAATTATTTTTGAAATTATTCAGCTATTTCTTTTTTTGATTATTTAAGTTATTTCTCAATAGAATTCTGATACACAATTGGTATTTAGAGATTCATTAAATCAGTCATTGTTCCAACAGTTTATGTAGGCAAATTTTAGAAAATTTCTTCATGGGTATCTAACATCTTTTCCCCAATAATAGACTCTTCTCTTAATCTTCTCAGAGAAGTTTTATCTATTTTAGCCATTTTTTTTTTAAACTCTTTAGTTGAAGTTTTCTTTTCATCATCTAAATTTACAGCCTAATATATAAATTGAATATGAATTTTTATTCATTTATAAAAATATCTTTACATCAAATTACGAATCATCTATTTTAACTCCAATATGCTTATAAATGCTGCTCAATATATTTTAATATAATTGTATTCTACTTTCTTTATTTCTGTTTTATTCTTTTAATTCAATAATTTTTTTGTTAGAAGAGTCCAACATCTCTTAGATTACTTACTTTTCAGCCAAGGCTTCATCTTTTTCACTTTTTTCATAAATAATCTAGAGATTAAGATCATCATACTTAGATGTAACCTTTTTCATTTCTTCTTCAATTTCTTTAATTTTATTTTCATACTTTAAAATTATGTCATTTTAGAATGGGTTATTGACAAGTATTTGCTATATCTATTTGATAATAGCTTAATTGTCATGCAAATTTTTAATCTTGATTATTTTATTTATACAACTCCACCGAAAATAGAGTGATTTAATACTCCATTTATCAGCATCTTCATATTCATTTACAATCTAATTTCGATCACTTTCAAACTTAGTATACACTTAATTTTTGATAATAAAAAAATTTTATCTTTAAATAAATAAAATTAATATTATTTTTAATACATTCCGATTCCTTCTATTCAAGATACGATTTCATATTGGCAATTTGTCTTTCCATTTTCTTTTAATTATCTTCTTTCTGCTCTGACTTTAATTTTAAAAGTTCTTCTTCTTTCTCTTCTAACTCTTACCTTATTTCATCTAATTAACCGCTGCATTTTTTAATTAAATTGATCAAAGATTCATCATTTTATTCTTTATAGTAGTTGTATTCTTTTTCATAAGCCTTTTTACTCATTAGCATTTAGTTTACTTCCTTATAATTTATTCCAAACTCTGGCCTCTATCTTTCAAATACGTCAAAAAAGAATTTGTTTCCTTTAATTTCTTAAATCTACTTCCATAAAATATATGGGTTTTCTTAGCACTCAAATATTTTTTTAAACATTTCCATTGTATCTATTGAAATAAATAAATAAACATTTAAGATTTTGAGCTAGCCTTAATTAATTTTAATATACCTCCCTTGTTAGCAGCTATCTAGTTATACTACTTTTTTAGTTTCTCATACTCATTGCTGAGAAAAAAAATTTTTTTTACATATTCTCTTGTCTTTATTTCAAAATTTTATTTAAGAGTTTTGAGTTTATCGTTTAGGGCTAGTCTAGTTTTTTCATCTAAATTTGATGTGCCATCGAAATACTACACTTCATAGAACTCTATTTCGTCAATATTTTATTTACGAAAAATCATTTCTTTCATGTGAGTTAAATCTTTAATATATCCTGTTGTTAGTCCTTATATTTGTTCATCTCTTATTTTTACAAGGTTTTCTAATTCTTTTATTTTCTCTTCAAATTCTTTAACTTTAGCGTTTGAAACTCCTCCTCCATGCTAAAAATTCAAGTCACTGTCTACAAACTCCATTTTTAGTGTCTGCATGAAACAATATTAATTATTAGTGTTATTGGTGAGTTTAAACTACAAAATTAAATTACATTTTTTATTTTCAGCGATCTAGCGGTGTCTGTTTAATTATCATCGCAAACACTAACACCATCAAAGAATCCCTCTTCATCTGAGTCCTCAGCAAAGTAGTTTATTTTATTGCTTTTTTCCACTAAGGAGAGCTTTGTAAAAAGGTTTTGTAAAGAGCCTCTTCTTTTATTTTTAAAATGCTACTTAAGCTTAGAAATATACATTTAACTCTTATATTTTTTTGATTTTGTAGGTTTAAGCTAAAATCCTATTTCACATTCGTCTGTGAGAACAAATTCAAGAGCTATCCTTATCAAATCATAACACTAATACTCCATAAGTTTGTTGTACTCCTATAGTAAAGTTCCATTAAACATTTAAATATTGGGTTAAACAATTTACATACCATCAAGCAGTTATTGGCTTATTCGTTTCTTGCTAGTTCACTTTATCTCAAACCTAATTTTGAAGTGTAATCAGTGATAAACTATTTAATAGTTGAAAATATGAGCCTAAAACATTATTCTAAGTTATTAAATTTAAGTCCTTTTTCCATGGCACTTTTAAATATAAGAATTTCATCATATTGCTTTTCTTCAGGAACACTTAGATAATTTGTATCTTATCCATTTTTCTCTTCTGTTTTATTTTTTTCTAATTGCTAACTACCTTCCTATTCGATCAATGGTAACAAATTAATCTATAAATTTTATTTACTTTTATTCTTTTCATAAACTTTCTGATCACTCATTCTTCAAAATAGTTACTACCTATGACAGACAATATATGAATGAAAAGTGATAGCTGTTTTGTTTATTTGTTTGTAGAGTTGTTTATTTGTTTCTTTGTCTGTAAACAAAAGTAAATTATATCTAAATTCAAAATGTAATTATCAGTAACAATAGTATGAAAATTATAGTACGATTTCACTTACTTTTTTAATAATAATACTAAAATTAACGAATACTATAAATTCTTTATTACCACAATCAATAATCAATCAATCATTAATATATTACTCACAATTTTGTAAAAGTACAAAATTCTTTATTTGTAATTTCTAAAAAGTTTTAAATACTGAATAAAATAAAAATATTTTTTCTGCCCAAATAGGAATGAAAATTTTTAATTATTTATTAATTTCCTGCTATTTTTAATAAAAATTTTGTAAAATAAAATATTTATTTATTTATTTCATTTTTTGGTATATTTTGAAATATAATAAATATTTTAGCTGTTTGAGAAAAGAATATTTTCAAATTGTCTTCATGATTTCAGTTTAAAGTAGAATAATTAAATATAAATAAATGTAAAAAAGATATATAAAAATGCAAGCAAGCTAAGTGTTAGACACAATGATTTATTATATATATTATTTAAATGAAGTTTTAATAAGGCATTACTATTAAATAAATAAATCAATAAATAAATATTCTTTGAAAACTTGCAGCATAATTAATTAACAAATATATCTTTTTTGAAGAAAAAATTTCAAGAAAAAAGCAGACTTAAGTATATTATAAAAATAAAGTTTAAAATATAAATGGGTGGTTAATAATAACAAACAACTTTACACAAGCAAGGATATGGTCCTGATTTACAAAAATATAACGGAAAAAGATTGCTTGTATATTTAAACGCAAGAAGAAGAGTATAAGGAACTGTTAAGGGTCACGATAATTACATGAACATAGTCCTTGATAATGCTCAAGAGATTATTGGAAAGGATAAATTTGTCAATATAGGAAAAGCTGTTATTAGAGGAAATTCTATTATTCGTTGGGATTGTTTAGAACTTATTTGAATTAAATATATTTAATAACTAATAAGATAACTATCTGGTTTTTATATTTGATATCTAAAATGAATGGTTTTATAATTTGAAATTATTTTTATTTGCAAACAAATGTTTTTTTGTAGTCTTAGCAAATCTATGTTTTTAATGTTGATCTTTTTGGAAATGCTTATTTTTTGTAGATTCATTCTTCCTCTAATAGTTAAAATTTAAATAACTCCTTTAAGTTCTTTGCTTTTTTTGAAATATTTGATTATTTCATTTTTTAAAGTTAATTTTAACATCAAACTAAGTAATAAGATATTGTAAAAATAATAAATCATAAGCTTTAGTTGAATGTTTAATTGCATTAACTTCTTAATTATTACTATTAAATATTAAAAGAATTTAATTAATAATTTTAAAATATTTCAAAACTTTTAATGTCCAACTAAATTAATAAAAATGTTAGATTCAATCTAAAATTTAAACTCCAACTTTATTAATAAAAATGTTATATTTAAAACAAAGAAAACAAATAATATGTAATTTTTTATTATAGACAAAAATAATAATTTTATATAATTTTTATCAAACAACAAAAAAATTTATTCAATTAAAAAATCACTTAAAAGTTGATTTATTAAAAATTTAAACTCCAACTTTGCTAATAAAAATGTTAGATTTAAAACAAAGAAAACAAATAATATGTAATTTTTTATTATAGACAAAAATAATAATTTTATATAATTTTTATAAAACAACAAAAAAATTTATTCAATTAAAAAAACTCTTAAAAGTTGATTTATTAAAAAAAATAACATATTATTTAACTTTAATTGTTCAATATTTTAAAATAGTATTTCAAAATAAGTTAATAATTATTTACTTTTCATATTTTACTTGAGTACATAAAAATTATTTTGGGTAGAGCTAAAAAGTAAGTTAGATTAATTTTTTTCCCTTTTTTAGTAAATTTTAAAGTTCTTATCAAATAATTTGAAACATGTGAGAGATTTTGCTAAAAAGATTCAAATTTAATATATAAAATAGTAAAAAAAATGATAGTAGTAAGATTATCATTTGATTTATCTATTTGTTAATAAATCTTTATTTAGATAATACTTAAAAGCGTTTAGTTATGAAAATTAAAAGGAGAAAGTATAATTGAATACTACATGCATAGATAATGAATGATAAACAAACAAACTAATTATATGAGAGATGAAAATTAGAATTATTATTTATTTAAATTTTATTTATATTATTGATAGGTTAGTTATTATTTAAAGCATTAAACTTTTTTAAATTATTTTTGTGAAAATTTTAATAATTATTTTATTTTTATTGTTTTAAATGATTTATTTAGTATTCACAAATTAATAATAGTGTTTTCTAATTAATATTTGCAGCATCAATTATATTTTTCTCATTTTGTATTTATCTTGCTTACTATTTTATTTAACTCAATTTAACTTTTTGAAAGTGGTTGATGGCTTGTGATAGCAGCACTTTAATTCTATCTTAAACTATGCTATCTTGTATCCTAACAATTTCTATTTATTTTAAATAAAAAAAGTTTAATGAAATTCTTCTAAAAATATTTGCTTCAAATTCAATCAATTTATTTATTTATTTAAACGTTAAAATAAATTAATCTTGTCCTGGCAATATTGCTCATTTTGGATTAAGCGATTGATACTAACTAATATTATCCTTTGAAGCAAATTTTTAATTCAACTAAAATTAAATATATACCAAAAGCTTAGCTTATTCAGTGTTTATGGGTTTTCCTTCTTGGCAAAGTACAAAATTAGATTGTAAGTTCAAAATACCATTTTATAAGATAACATCTACACCAAGTTTTCTCAAGTAAACATCCATAGTGTGAGCAAATGTATTGAAGACATCACTATCCTTTTAAAGAATTATAGTTTCGTTGGCAACATGTCCGGCCTTGGCAAATTCTTCGCATCCATATGAATCAAAGAAACTATTATAATAGGTTATTTTAAATTTAATACCTCGAAAGCTCATATATAAAAAAAGTAAGTTACTTTTTGACTTCTTCATAGGTTTTGTTAGTGAAAAGCAAACCACAATCACCCTTAATTTATTCAGTCAAGTAATGTAAGTTGTCTAATTATTCTGAATCAGAGTCCTTTCCTAAAACGATTTGCATGACTTTGTTTTTACCTAAGAAGAATCTTTAATAATTAAAAAATACAATTAGATTATATATTCATTTTTGTATATATATAAATAAGCTCCTAATGAAGTTTGACATATTTAAGTTAATTATTACCTTGAATCACTCCATTAAGCTTGAATCTCTCTGAATGGGATAGTGGTCATATTTTCATGAGAGAAAACATAGATGTTATCGTACTTTTGGACACATTCATTTAATTTATTTTGAATTTTTTGCTTGTGTCCTGTGGCATCTTTCTTAACCTTAGTTAATGCTACAACTTTAGATCTTTTGGACTTAGGCATTTTTGTTACTTGTAGATTATTACGTAGATAGATAGAGGTATTGTAAATTTAATATTTTTAATTTTTTTAATCAAAGATTGATTGATTAATTATTGTTATGAATGGATTTAATATTTCTCCTACTTTTGATCCTTTTATTAATTTATCTTTCTGTTCCTGATTAACTAATTTATAACTTGCTTTTGATTACTAGATCCAGCTATATATGTATATTTCCAAAAACTCTAATTAATTATAAATATTCTTTTTGCTTTTTGTGAAAAAATTACAAATTAAACTTTCATACTAATACACAAAATCAAATATAAACCAAAAATTTCACTCAAATTTATTTTCTATTTTATTTAAAATAATTCTAAAGATTTCTAAGTCCTATTCCAAAAAATTATTTTATTTTTTCAAAAATTAAAATTAAATTTATACTCAAAATTTCAAATAATTATTACAATTAAAATTAAATAAATTTCGCGCGCGTTAACAAGTAAAAAATTTGATTATATTTATTATTTATTAAAATATTTATTTAATTTTATATAATTTTTGTTCATATTTTTTTTCACTTATTTATTTATTATTTATTATTTTTATTTATTTTTTTATTTTTATTTATTTTTTTATTTATTTTTATTTTTAATTTTTATTTTCTTTTATTTGTGTTTATATTTTCTATTTGTTTTATAAATTTTTTGTTTTTTCTTTTTAAATTTTAAAAAATAAATCTTCTTTTTGTTTCTTGACGCTCTCAATCTCTCTATAATAGCTTGAATCTATTTTATCTTCTGCATGCTTGCTTCTTAAAAAATACTAATTATATATTGGTTAAATAGAAATAATTGAGGATTTAGTATAATTATTTCAGTAAAATTTTTATAGAAAATGAAAGCTTTTTTGAAAAAACTGACATACAAGAACTATATTCAAAATGTTTGGTGAGGTATTTTGAAGTAGACGATGTCTTTAATATTATTTATTTTTTTCAATGTTAAAGATTCTTAAGATTAGCATTTATTTTATTAATGGGTATTGTGTTAAAAACTTTAGAAGGGGACAAACAATTAATTGTTTAGTGCTCGAATGGGGGCACTAAATTTAATAAAAGAGCATACGAATGGATCTAAGAATGCTATTTTTTAAAGAATTAATTGTTGCCAAATGCTAGCCATTTTAAAAATCTCCTTAACATTTGTTGGATAAAAGATGATTTTTCTATAAAAATTTACTTTCCTCTTTTAATTTTTGAAATATTTAATTAATTATAAAAACACAAAAGAAAAAGAAATAAATAAATAAAAATTTACAGAGAAGAGAGCTAAAAATTAATTAATTTAAGTATATTTAATTTATTTAGATTTTAAATTTTAAAAAGCGGCTAATTAAATAAATGCAAAAAATTAATATAAAATATATATGGGAATTATTAAAAAAATATCAATAAATTATTATCATATATTTTTTATCAAATCGGTCAAGTCTTTTAATACGCTCGCTTCTTTTTAACATTATTCTTAGTTGTATTGGTTAAATTCAGAAGATTAGCACATGAAATCGTCTTATACCATGTATTCATTGAAAATTTATATTTTTTCTATCATATTTTAAGGATTAATTTCTTGCTAGGCAGGGTTATTTTGTTGTTAAGAAGCTTCGATGTTCTAGACTTACAACTTTTATTCTGGAATTTATATTTATTTCTACTTATGTTCTTCTTTTTCTTCTTCATCTTTAAGATCTTGCTTGATTTCACTTTTTTCATTTTATTTATCTTAAATAATTGAAGGGGATTTTATGATTTAATCACACATTTAAATTTCTTGATCTATTTAATTTTTAATAAGTAGCTCTTTTAAATGATTGATCTGCTATTGTAAGCTCTCAATATGCAAATTATTTTAAATCATAATATCTTATTGTTCAGATATTTTTGCTTGTAAATTATTACATTAAACTTTTAAGTCACTTGTTTCTAAACCTCCTAATTATGCTTCAATTTAGTAGTTATCAACTTGATTTTTAAGCTATTCGTTTTCCTCTGTTAGAATTTATACTTTATGTTTAAGAGCTTGATTTTCTATCATTAAATTTTAAATACTTGTCTACTTGTCTTGATTGCTTTCATCTTACTAAGTATGTAATGTAAGAACTTTAATTTGTTCATTTAGCTCATCTATTTTCATATTTAACATGCAATTTTCATTTATCTTATCTTATAAATCGTTCAATAGCTTTTCTGGTTCTACAATACTGCTCTCGCCAATATTCTAATTAAAATAATTAAAATAAAAAAATAAATTATTTTTTATTAATATTACTGATGTGCTATTGTAATAAGAAGCTTCTATCATTGAAGAAGCTTTAACGTTGCTCATTGATGTCTATAGTTTACTTTTTAATTTATCTTCAAGCTCTTTTTTCTGATGCTGTAATTTTTCAATAACGTCTTTATATTCTTTCATTTAATTCTCAAAGAATTCTTTAATGCTTTCATTCTGAACATTTTTTTATTACAATTTTTTAATGTTTTCAGAATTTGCTTTTTTAATTTTTTCTAGTTTATCATAGTCTTCTTGTAGCTTTTTATAATTGTTTTCAAGAGTTTTTCTTTTAGCATTTTCAGTTTTAATCATGCCTTGGAGAACAGCTTCTGATTTAAGTTTCTCTTAAAGCTAAGCATATGCAACTTTATATTTCTTTTAAAGTTATGTATGGTCATTTAAAAGTATATCATACTCTTTAGCTATATTTTATTTATATACTTAATCAATTACTATTGGACCGCCATGCTTGCTTGATAAAATACTATTTAAACTCTCTCTAGACTTAGATACTTCAATTTAGAATTTTGGCTATTCAGACACAGCCAATTCATCATTAATATCTAAAATTTTCAATTAAGTCTATCTTTCAGATTCATCATGCACGACTAAAGACTATGAATTTATATCCATTAGCTAAAAGTTATCATTCTAATTATCATTTTAGGTCAATCCAATTGTGTTTTCTAGGTCATGTTTGTTAGATTTATTGCCTATTTATGAAACCTGACTTTTTAATAGCTCAATTTCCTAAGATTTTTTCTAATTAAATTAAATAGAAATAATTAATATAATTAATAAATTTTTTAATTTAATATTTACTTTGTCCTCTTCTACATAATCTTTTATCCTTTCTTGTAAAATGACTAATTCCTATTGTGAAACATGGTTTTAGTTTTCTATTTCAGAATTTCTAATTTCGACATCTTTTATGGTTTGTTAGAGCCTCTTGCTTTCTTCAAGTAGTCTTTTATTTTCTTTTTCAAGCTATTTAGCTTTTTCTTATGCTTTTTGTTTCTTATCTTTTACCTTATCTATAAGGTTCTTTAAAATTTCACATTGTCCATCTCTTAGAACATGAGAGCTTTCTAATGTCACAGACATGCTTGCTGTAAGTAAGTTTTCTTTTAGCTTAAATTTAATTTTTTTAATCAATAAGGAAAAAAATATTTTTGCAAAAATCATACCTATTTATATTAGCTGTTAAAGTTGCTAATTTAACTTTACATCTCTCCTTTTTGCTCTTCAATTTTATCAATTTTATCTCTTTTTTCTAAAATAGCGTTATTTAAACTGTTAATTAATTGCTATGTCTAAACCATTTCATCATTTAAAGCTCTTTGATAAAGCTATTTGCAGGTTGCCAATTCTTTTGACAATGCATTTATTTGCTCTAAACAATTTATGTGAGCTTCAGACTGTAGTTTATTATCCTAAAAAAAATTATTATTAAAATTTATGAGAGTTGATGGAAAAATAAATAAGAAATAAATAATTTTACTTCGCTAGTGCTGGATGGTAACTGACCACCATTTTGTGACTATTTATAATAATTTATTCTTTCTTCATATTCTTTTTTAAGTCTGTCAACATAATTTTCATTTTCCTTGATAATTTAGTTTTTGTCATTCAGATGTTTCTCCTACAAAGATCTAATTTATTTTTATAACTCTTCAATCTTTTATTTTAGCTAGGTCATTTCTTCTTCTCTATCATTTAATGTTTCTTTTATCTCTGAAAATTCAAGTTCTTTATTTAATCTATTTATTTCCTAAGTTTCAAAAATCATAAATATATAAGTCTCATATTCACAAACAAATATATAAAACTTACTAAAACATTTTTCTAGCACTCTTGCTTTTTAGATTCTAGTTCATTTTTTAATTTCCTAATATCTGCCTACAGCTTTTCTTTTTCATCGTCATACTTTTATTGCTATTTTAATTATGAATATCATAAAATTCTAATATTTAATTATATTTACATTTTCATTCATCTAAATAGTTAAGCCGTTAATGATTTCTTTAAGCAGTTAATTATCATTAAGACCTTCACCACTAATCTAATTGAATTAGAGTTGATTGCTTGGATTATTTTCGTTCTTTTTTCTTTAAATTAGCTCCTTGACAATATAGCCAGCGCTTTCTATTTTTGAAAAAATGTTTAATTTAAAGATGAAGAAGAAGACAATTTAATTACCTTGAATAGTATTTTATTGCTATGCATTACTTTTTTAACTTATCAACTTAATTTTGTTTTCTAATTCTTTTCTAGCTTCACTTTCTTCATAATATCCCGCTTTTAATTTGTTTATTGATTGCTCATATTCCATCTTTTTTAAATGACATATTTGTTAAATTTATTATAATTTTAATAATTAAGTACCTCTTTTGCTTTTAATTGATCATTGTTTGCTTTTAAAGCATCACATTAGTATTGTAGAGCATGATATTACTTTATGAGCTCAGAATCATTTGTCTAATTTACAAATGTAAATAAATTTTCAAATATTTTATGGAAGAATTTTACTTGTTTGGAGCCATTCTTAGAAAATCTCTGCTAACTTTGGTTTACAGGTATAGATAGCTGAACAGTGTGTAATTCTTATTTATATCTCTCAATTTACTAACTTAACTAATCAATAGTTCCTTTAGAAATTTAAATTTACTTCATCATACTTTATTGATCACTATTTGTAATTTAATTCAATTATTCTTCATAAGACTTAATCTTTAAAGTTAATTATTCCTACATTCCTTTTAATTCCATAATTTCTCTATCTTTCATTTCTAAAACGTGGGCAAACTACTTTTGCATTTACTCAAGATTGATTTATTGCTGATAGCTTCCCATCATGTTACCTGAAGCTCCCATATTAAAGTCCATGATATTTTTTTATTCTAGTTTAAATTTTTTGTAAATAATTTTTTTAAACTAGATAAAAATAAATTATTTTATTTATTTATTTATTTACCTATCAAATTCTGATTATCTTTCTTGATTTTTTCAATTAACTGATCCTTTTTATTAAAAAAAACACTCTTTAAATACAATTTTTATACTTATTTAAATTTTACTTTTTCTTTAACAGAACTCGACAAAAATTTTTATTATTTTTAGTAGTTTTATAGTTAAGCCTATAAATCTTAATTATTTTTTTCAGCTTGCTATAGCTCTTTTACTAAATTCTAATTTTTTGATTGCAATTCTTATATTATAGAATCTTAGTTTTGTTTCATGATCATTTACTGCTCTTTTATTATTTCTTCATGTTTTATCCTCTCTTCCTCAAATTATTCTTTTTGCTTTATTCTTCCTTCAAGTAAAATATTTTCATTTTTTAATTAACTTTTTTCAGTTTCGTAATTTATTTTAATCTAAACCTACTCTTGTTAAAGCTAAAGTATCTACTAATCTAACTTTTTAATTTATTCTTCCTTCTATTACAACTACTCTTAAAGGGTCAAATTTTATTAGCACACAGATAAATTCTAACTTGGAATTTTATTTTCTTGATTATTATTTGTCTTTGTTGACTCATTTTCAACATCTAACGCACTATCTATTGTTTCCTTACTCAAGGGTTCAATGTAATAATCTTAAGATTGTGAGGTCCTGTTGTTTTATACGCTATTTAATCTTTTTTTTATATCTTCCTTATCAATAGATAAGTTACTTTTGATAGCCTTTTATATATTCATGTCAGTGCTTTTCGTATTTTTGGTATTTTAATGAATTTAGTCTGATTTTTGAATACTTTAATTTTTACTTCTAATACTATTACTCATGCTTAGCAAATTTACATCATTTTTATCTCCACTCGCAGTGATATGATTATTGTTTTTAATCTAAACATTGGTATGATCGTTATTTAAATCTTTCATACTTTAATTATTGTTTGCATTTGGATTACTTTCAATACTTTATTAAGATTTATTCTAAAGTTATGTTTGAATGTGTTGTATTACAACTTTATTACCTAATTGATTATTTAAGCTCTGTTTTAAGTTCATCTTTCCTAATCTACTTGAATTAAGATTAATCGATAAAGCTTGTTGTAAGGCAGATTAGCGTTTAGATAAATTTTAAACAGAAGTTGTACTAGCCAAAGCCTCTTTAAACTCATCAAGGGATTCATTATTTTTTTTTTAAGACATGATTTTATTCAGCAATAAATCAGATTGAATCGTGCTTTATCTAAAGTCTCCTTTTTAAAGAGTATTTTACTTCTATAAATATTGCTTAATCTCATCAAGCTAATTTTATATATTTTCAACTTATTCTTGATTCATAAATACTCCTTATTCTCTTTTACTGTTTGAAGTGTTACAAAATAAATAAAATACTTAAGTAAATTAATAAATGAGCAAATTAAAATGTAAAATTACTTGGAATAATTCTGTAAATTTTCCTAAACCATACGGTTAGATAAGCTCTCCATGGAAGAGTTGATATTCGTATTAGTATTCATTTTAGGATTGTATATCTACTGAAGCTAATTATGCTGATTAAGCTAGTCTGTGTATTGCTATTGGTATTACTTTGATTAATTTAATGTATCCTAAAGTTCATTAGTTAATTACTAGTTTTCTTAATAAAGATAATCTATTCTATTATTTAAGCATTTATTGTCATATGAGATATCACTCATCTCAGTTGGAAGAGTATTCACTTTTTGCATGCTTAAACTATTACCACTTAGTATGGTGCTTTAAGGTTAGATCAAACTATAATTTAAATTCTTTTTTGCCATCTATAGCTGCATATTATCTGATTAACTTAAATCAACACTTTGATTTATTTTATTGTTTCTTACCATGTAATTTTATTACATAGGAGAAGAAAAATAGTATTTTTAAAGATTATTTTATTGATTTGGAGGTACAAAAGTTGATGTAGTCATGGTGATTTAAGGCTATTATATTTAGCTCATTTGAGGTATTTAATTGTTTTGAATCACCTAATTTTTTTATTGTTAATTAGAGTAGTTTGAAAGATTGATGTACTGATGGTTAGGTCCCTATTATTAGATTTATGAAGACTTTAAATTGTTATTTTGTGGAGATTATAAAGGAACTTAAAAATATCCAAGCTGTTAATTTGCTGACTCAGCTTGAAAATCATATTCTTGAGTATTATTTATTGACTCATTTTACAATTAAAGTGATTAGTTCATTTTTTTCTTCATTATTTATCGACTAATTGGCGATAATGATTGATAACCTGCAGTGTAATCCAAATTTTAAGTTTATTAAGAAGATACTTGAAATGGTTGAATTTTTAAATAATTTTTAGTGTCTTTGTTCATAGATGCTTTATTGCTATACGAATTGTCAAAATCAAAAGTATTTCTGAACTATCTGTTATCATAACTTCCATGTCTTTTGAGAGTTGATTGCTAATCGATCATATTTTTTAATCTTTATTATATTTATTATTAGTTTTTAGAAGCTGTATAACCATAATTTGCTCCTCCTCTAATGCTATCATTATTCAAGTCTAACGAAGACTTCTTTATCTAATTATTATACATCTATCTAACTCTTAGATTACTTATAAATCTCTGCTGCTTTTCTAAAAGAAAAACTATAAATACAACTAAATGATAAGATAACTTAAGTAATTAATTGTTTATTTATCTATATTTATGTATAATATATACTTAATTTAGAGAAATTGCTCAATTGAAGTCAATTTCTATGTACGTTTATAAAAATAATAATTAATTATTATAAACAATTTATCTATTTAAAGCTTTATAGGCCATTTTTACAAGCATTCAATTATTTATAAAAATTTTGGTATTAAAATTAACCATAAATAAGTAAACAAGCATAACAATAGTTAGCTAAAAGAAAATAGATTTTTAATATCTGCAATTTACTTTATATTATAATAAATAATTTGTGTAATCAACAAGTCATCATAAAAAATACTCCTTCTTTAAAAATACAAATGGGAATATTAATTAGTTTTTAAACTTATCCAATTTATTTTTAAATGAGAAAAATTTATGAAAATTTATTTTCAAATTATAAACAATAATATAAATTTTTATTTACTTTCAAAGCATATTTTTTCTTTTACTTTAAAAAATAACATTTCAATAATAAAAAATTATATTTATATATTTCAAAATTAAATAAATTAAAAAACTTATTCAATATTTATATAATCTCTCTACTTTAAGTAAAAACAAATATTATTTTTTCTTTTATTTTTAAAATACTAGATTAAAAACTTTAAAAATATTTCATAAAAAAAAAAATCAAATTAAAACATTTAATTTCTTATAGGATTATTTAATTTTGATTACATTGAAATAATTAAATTACTACAAAAAATAATTAAAAAATATTCATAAATTTTAAAGTGTAAAATGAAAGGTTATTTTTAATTTCAAAAAAAATGAGAAAAAACAAATTATTAATTTTTTAATTAGTTAACTTTATCATAATTATTTATTTAAATAAAATAAAAAAAATCAAATTTAAACAAATAATATTTGTTTTCTAAATTTTTTTATTTGTTCTATTTTTGCAATTAAAAACTTTTTAGCTCATTTTTAATTTGAAGAATAAGATTGCTTCTAAGTTTATTTTAGAAGAATTAAAAATGAGCTTTTAAATCTTTATTTATTTAAATTTTTTCAACTTTAAATTTTATTCATTTTCAATGTAAATCCCATTTATAATTTGCTAAATTAAAAGAAGATAAATATATTTTTGGTATGATTAATATCCAAATTTAAAAAAAGATAAAATTATAATTTCCTAACAAAAATAGAAAAAATACTTGAATTATATTAAAAATTAATATATTTACTTTCACTACTAAAATAAATATATTCAATTTATAATGAAAAATGATTATAAATTTATTTAGTCGTAGTTTATTAAATATAAATATGAAAAGTATTTAAAATATGTATTTATATAAAAATAGTTTTTTATATTTCTAGAAAATTAGTGATCTTAATTAAAAAAGCATATTTTTTTATTTATTTTTTGAGAAATAAAATTTATGATGATATTTTATAAATAATGATAGATTCTTCTAGTTTGGAGGATTAGGCTTTTAAGATATTCTTTTATATGTAACATTTATTCTTTGATTTCACTCGAAAGTACTTATTTTATTAAATATTAATACTTACTCAAAATACTTTTTGATCAAATTCTTTAATTTAGATTATTAAAGAATTTAATTATCTATGGTTTTTATTTACTCTCTTAAATTTATAAATTCATTGCTTAAATCAAATACTTCTATGTTATTATATCTTATTTTTTATAAAGAAATATATTTGGGTCTTTTTTTCACTCATGCATATTGATTAATGTATTTTGATAATACATAAGGTTGATTTTTATTCTTTTTTGAAAGTATCTTTTTATTTAACTATAAACTTATACCATATATCATTTAATGGCTTATATTGTAAAAAATTGTTTATTTACAAATAGTTAAAATTTTAAAAAGGGAATCATTTAAAAAAACTAATCTTTACTTCACTTACTAATAATATTGTATGTATATATTTAAAATAGTTTTTAATACAATAACATATTGTAAATTATAAAATAAGGAATAATGCTTGAATATTAATTAAAATATTCTAATAAAATTTAATAAATAATTAAAAATTAGCTAGTAAATATCTTTTTGAAATAAAAAAAACATTAATTTTTTAAATAAAAACAAAATATTTCCAGATTGTAAGCTCAATTAATTCATGTTAGCAAGAATTTTTTTGAAGAAAGTGATAAAAATTATTAAGAGTGAAGAAACATTATCACCAAAAACAAAAGTAACTTCAGATAATAATAAATTTGTGAATTAGATGAGATTAGGTTGTGATTTGAAAAATTAGTTAAATTAGCTAGACAAAACTTATGAATGGATGAAATTTTGTCAGCTTTTGAAAGGGAAATTTAAGACTAAAATTGAAAAATCGTGGTTTCTACTGTTAAAGATTAATGTTTTAAAAAAATTAATACATAAAATTTAAAACTAAATAGTTTTCATAAAAAAAAAACATTGCTTTTTTTTATTACTCTGCCTTTACAAAAATAAATAAAGTTTTATCGTAATTATTTTTAAATATTGGCTCTCCTTTATCTAATTACTTGTTTTCAATTTATTAAATTTGTGTATATTCATCAACTTTTTAAAAAGCTGGGTAATAATAATTTTTAATATCAACATTTTAATTTCCTAAATTTGTAGTTTTGTTATTGTAAATTTATAATGTTTATATTCCTTTCTTTACTTACAATATTTTATAAATATGGTATATCTATCAATCAAATTCTACAGAATTTCATAAAATAATTCAGGGATAATGTATAAAAAAATGATTTTATTCCATTTATCCTGGTTTTAGTTACCGAAATGTCTTTAATATATATAATTTTAAAAGATAGTTTTTAATTAACCATTTTATATTCCTTTGATGAGAATTGAATGTATAAATTTATACATAAAGAAAAAATATAAACTTAAAGCTATGCCAGTTAATTTGAGCAATAGATGAAAATTGCATTTGCAGGTATAAAAAAAGTTTCTTTTGATAATGAATTTGATATGATAATACATTTTATTTTATGTTATTGATATTAAATTTAAATAACTTAGGAGATTACAATAAATCTTTATTTAATTAAGATTCAGGTTGAAAGCAACACATTTTAAGGTTTTTAAAATTTTTTACATATCAAATAATAAAAGACTTCAAAATATCAGTTTCTAAACTAAATTCATAAATTAAAATCAATATTTAGTTGTTATTATACGAAACAAAATTTTTTGAAAAATGATTTTTTTCCTGTAAAGTTAAAACATAACTACCTCATAAATATAATGAGCTAAATTTTTTTAATTGATAAAAGTATTTACATTAAGTAATTAAAAATGCATTCATTAAAATTGTTGCAAATAGTTTATGGTTGCGTTAATACTGAATATAATAAATTGAAACAAAAACATAATCTTAATTACAAAAAAGAAAATTTGTAAATTATAAAATAAGTAAATGTAAACTAAAAATTATCTATCTTAGTAAATGTTTGCTTTTAATATTTGGCGTTGATTTCATTTTGAGAAACAGTTTACAAATCTAAAGTTTCTCAAAATAGTGATGTCAAATCTCATTTCAAATTAAGAAAAAATTATAAAACTTCTCAAAATTTTTTCTAAAAAATTTAAAATCATTAACAAATCTTACCCTATCTTCTATCATTTATAAATTCAAATGACAATACAGAAGAATAAATAAATATTTACATTAATTTCATAGTAAAGTTAATTTGAAATAATTATCAGATTCTATTATCAAGCAAGCAAGCGAGTAGTTTAGAAATATTATTAAAGCATGAAAGAAAACTAGCAAAACATACTCAAAAGATAGCCTGCAAATTTTCTTTAATAATTAAAATGTCTATGCAAAATCATTAATTCAGTATGTATTGTATACAAAATGTTCGCAAATGAAACCCTATTTATCGAGTTTCATTTGAGTATATAAAATATTTAAATTATGACATATTATTTCAGAAATTATTTATGTTAGCAAAAAATTAATTACATCTCCGCAAATGATTAACTTCTATTTCTTATATTACAACTCAAGAAAAAAAAGAATTTTTACTGGAAATATATTTAATTTAAGCTGGCTACTGAAACAACTGAAGGCAATTAACTAAATAAAGTAATTTTACTCTGCAAGGAATAAATGGACAAAAAAATTTTTTGCTAATTTTTATGACTTGGAATAGAACAAACAATAAAAAAATTTAGCACAAAATCAACTTTGCTTGAATATAAAAATCTGGGTTACATTTTAAATTAATTTATAGTAATAGCAAAAAAAAAAAAAGTTATGAAGAGTAGAAAATTTTTTGTCTGAAATTGATTTCTATGAAAATGAGTTTTGATTTAAACAACATAAAAAGGGGTAAATATTATTTTTAACTTTAAATTTGTATTTTTGAGAGAAATTTTGTTTTTTTAGATTACCATGCATGTGTTTGAGAAATTTCTTTTCTATCTATCCTGCTTAATTTTTTGGGTGAATATTGATCTAGACAAATAATTTGTTTTAGAAAACTTGACAAGAAGCTTCTTTAATTATTCATATCTATTATTATTGATGGCAATCAACTAATTTAAATGTAAAATAAGAAATTTCTATTGCAAATTTAAAGCCTTTACATGTAATTACTTTACTACGGGAATTAATTTAAAATTATAATTTCATTGCAAGAGTCTTCAATTTTAAAAAATGAGCAGCTCAACTTTATCAAAGCTTGGAGACTGTATGTGGTTTTTTTGAGTTAGGCTTATATATTAGATCAAATTAACAAATTATGCAAATAATCTCTATAGGCTTGAAATAAAATTAATCAGATTAATTAATCTAAATGTTGCTTGAGAGTTTTTCTAAATAACAAAATAAATTCACTTACTTTCATCAGATTCTATTTTAATTATTTTTTCTTTTTTTTATTAAAAGAGAAGTTTTGAATTGATAATATAAAGATATTTATAAAAATAAATATCTAAATTAAAAGCAAATAAAATCTAAAAAAAAAATACAACAACAAATTTTTAGCAATCAAATTTTTTGATTGATCCACTCGTTAACCAACCATCAAACCACCCAATAAACAAACACATTATCATCATAACCCAAACCCCAATCAAGTAAACAAAACCAAATTCACTATGAGTATGAAAAACTTGAACTCTGCCAACCTCAAAAACCTCCAAATATCGCTTCAGCAAGAAAGGTCTATCCTCTACAGTATTCTTGGCTAAGAGGAATTACTTGAAAGATTTGTTGCTTCTCTTTTCTGTGATAAGAAAATAATACAAGAAGCTTACAAGTTATACTGCTTGATTTCATAAGATAAAAGCAATTAGAAGAATTTGATTCGCTTCTAACTGGAGTCTTCTTTTTGCCATATATATTAGATTAAATAATTATTCTACCAATATGAAGTAGCTAATAAAGAGCTCCTTGCTAAGTCCTCTAAAAACTCTCATATAATTATTATATATAATCAACTTAAAAACTACTTCGAATAGTAACTTATCGAAGAGGTAGAAGAAATACCTGACGAATTACCATCTGAGTGATCATTTAAAATAAATAAATGATAAACGTTAAATATTTTAAATTATGTAGATACTATTAGCAGATTATCATGCGCTTAGTTAGAACTTCTGAAATCAATTATAAACCTTTTAATCAATAGAACCAAATACGCTAAAAAATATTTATAGTCCTACTTAATTTATTGATAAATATTAAATATTTATTTGTCAATTAAATTGAAAAAAACAAATAAATTATTACTGGGAGAAAAATCATATTTTACTTCACTTAATTTAATAATGTCAATCTAATAGGATTATAATAAATTATTCCATCAACCAATCTTACCCTAACTTTTATTCAAATAAATACGCAATTTTCAACTACTCTTGTAAAAATACTAACATATCAACAACAATTAATAAATACTCTATAATAATAAAAATATACAATTCGCTAAAAATTTCAACTAAAAACTAAACTAATTTATTTGTATACAATTTATATATCTTTAATTAATATAAAATAAGCATTAATAAAAAAATTAACAAACAATCTATTATTTAATTTTAAAATTATTTTGGTTTTATTGCATTTTAACAATCTAAGCAATCATAAATTCTGTTTGCTTACCCATTTTTCAATTCCGCTGTCTAAAATTATAATATAAAAACAATTTTAAATCCATAATTTTCAAAGAACACTTTTACTCTCTAATGTTATATAATTTATTTATTTATTTATATATATATTTTATGGTAAGGGGTAAAAGCTAATTGTAAAAGCTTATTTGTTTACGCTCTAATAAACTATAAATTCAAAAGGAAAATTTTATATAATAATAATAATATACTTATTTAAATTTCTTCTAAGGATTTCTATTTTTAGCTAAAATTACAGTTTGATCTAGAATATGAGTTTGCATAATATTTACATACTATTTAAAGAATATTCAAGCTTCCTCTATACTAATACTGTGAATACTTAAATTAGACAGTTTTTGCTAAATTTTGTGCTTGAATAAAATTAATAGCCAAAAATGTGTAAATTTGGTAATAGTAACTAGCCCGTTTAGAATTAAAATAATGTAAATTAGATTTAGTGTAAAAATGATATTTTGCATATAATTTATATTTTAAGATAGAAGAAACGTATAAAGTAAACCATAAAATTTTATTAAAAAATCAGTAAATCAAATCAATTTTAATTTAAATTAATATATTTGATAATCGAATCAATCCAATTCATGCATAGAGCTGCATAAAGAAAGAAAAAAATTAATTATTCGTAGGAGTTATTACTTTGCTATCTAAATTTGAATAATGCAATAACAAATATCTCCTAGAAGAATTAAAGTTTTAATAATTATGTTAAATTTACATTAATATTCATACTATTTGGAGTTTCAAACAAGACAATTTATTAGAGATTAGATAAATTGACCTTTTTAAAATTTGAGGAATTATAATAAAATATTTGAAAGCATGAACAAAATTGTTTGATTTAAAATATTCTCCAAAAAATAATTACTTTCTAACTTGTATAAAAAATAGAACAAATTTAATTTGTAAGATCAGTCGGTCATAGACTCAAACATTATTTTTTTGGATATCCAGTAAATTATTTAAATTAAATTTTATCTATATTTAATACAACTTAGCTAAGTTAATTAACAAATTTTGAAAGTCATATAAAAATCATTTTATTATTTTCAGGGTAGTGCAAATGTTTGAAATGTTTCTAAAATATTAAAAAATATATTATTTAGATAGCATTTTTGCTAAGTTACTCTCATAAAAATATTTAAAAATGCTTGCAAAATGTAAATTATAATTAATACAAATACCCTATTGAGCAAATAAAAATTAATCCTATCTCCAATCTATTTTAATCTTCAGTGTAATTATAATTATTAAAATTAATCTAGAATTAATTTATTATATGAGCGATAGATTTATTTAAACATAAAAAAATCTAGCTAATATTTCTTTAGACAGTTTTAAGTATTCAAAAGAATAAATTTTTTGTGAATACTTCCAAAATATTTACTAAATCAATTTAATTTATTTTAAAGTTAGTTAGTTATTTATTTTTTGTTTTGTAATCAAATTTAGAAATTAAATTCTTTAATTATATCAAAAGTCTTTATTAATAATTTTCTCTTAATTAGATTGATTCATGAATCTTATTTTCTATCTTACATTATCTACGATGCTTTTAAGACAATCTATCAAAGCCTCAAAAGTTTTTTATTAAGTAAATGTTTTTAAAATGGTATCATTTTGAAATGAAGATCATATCAAGCAAAAAAATGAAAATAAAAAAGAAATTCCATATTTAAATGATAATATTTATAAGTAACAAGCTAATAGCATCTCGTAGAAAAAATAATGATCAATTACATTTAGATTAAAATACACATTAAGTATACTAGCAATAATTTCACATAAAATCTATTTTATCTTAAAATACATAAAAACTTCTCTAAATTTTTTAATGACAACATTAACTTTAAAAAAATAAAATGAAAAATGCAAGTATTTATACTTATATTTTATTTCAGGCTATTTAAATTAAAAACAATGTTTATAAGATTTTATATAATTCAAGGATTTTTTTTTCAAACAAGTATTAATAATATAAAATAAATCTAAAAAATATTGTTTAATTAGATTCTTTTAGATTAAAAGATTTCCCAAAAATAAATCTTTTAAATATAAATTTTACTGATTTATTAGAAGTTCGCGAGATTAGTTTCTGCTTAAAGTAGACATTTCAAAAATTAAGACCATTTTTAAAGTGATTTTATTGTATTATTCCTATAAAAATCCAGTTTACTTCAAATTAAAAATTGTATGATGCATTTGTAGTTTATCAGAAAAAGATATAGACAATAACTGAAGTGTAATTAATATTACAAAAATAGGCTGCTTAATAATTCAAATAACTCATATATTTATTTTAAGGGATAAATACTAAAATGGATTCTAAGGAGTAATAAGAATCCTTCACTTAAATTTTAATCCTAAAATTTATAAAAACTGAAGAAAAAAAAATAAATAAAGAGGAGTAGGATTTAAAAGACTTAGATACAAAATAACCACTTAATCCGAGATAGTATAGTGGTTAGTATTCCTGCCTGTCACGCAGGAGACCCGGGTTCAATTCCCGGTCTCGGAGCTTTTTTTTTGTTAATGACTTAGAATCTATTAAATAAAAAAATTAAGTCTGCTTGTTTTTTGCTTGGGGAAATTGTTTATTATTAAAAATATAAAAATTAAAATTAATTAATTATTGCCTTTTTTATTAAAAAAATGAAAGTGCTTATTTGGCTGAATACTTTTGCTTTTAAATAAGACACTTTTAATAAATTATTTAATTTAAGAAAATTAGATTTATATGCGCAAGCAAATAGAATAAATTGTTCCATTTATATTTTATTCTTTCTTATTAAAACAACATTTCTTAAATAATTTATCTATAATAGAAATTTACCAAGAAAATCTACATTTTCGGAAGAATAACTTTATAAAATTATAATAGTTAAAAGAATTATAATATGAATGGAAGAATTATTTATTGGGTGTGAATAAGGTTAAAATAATTAATCGCAGTATCTTTGAACGGAGAGGGTAAATTAAAAATTGGGGAGTGAGGAGATTAAAAGAAAAGACTTATCAAATAAAGAAAATTTCAAAAGAAATTAAAGGAATCTAATAAATCAGAAAAAAGTAAATATAAATAAACTAAAATGGACAAGACCACTAGAGCTATCAACAAGAAGAAGAAAGTAATTAAACTGAATTCCATTTTTTTAAATTACAAGTGCTTAGCGTACAGAAAATAATTTCAGAATCGCTAATGCCCTTCTTCAACTTTTGAATTCAATTTTTGCATTTTGTTAAACTTATCATTTTAATCAATAGTTCGTTGCCGATGGTGTTTTCAACGCTGAATTACACTCTTTCTTCTCCAAGTCTCTCCAAGATGCTGTAAGAATTTATTTACATTACTAAATTAGCAAAATACTACAGGAATAAATCAGATATTAGAATTAAGAAGAGCTTTCTTTCCTCATTATTAGTATAATTTAGCAAAACAAAACTGAAAATGATAGATTAAAACTGAATGTAGCAATTCTATTTACAATCTGAGTTTAAGATAATTTTATCCTTGGCACAAAATTCAATAATTTGTTTAAATGATAGCTTAAAGCCAGCATAAAGCTTTACAAATTTGCTGAATAACATGTTTTAATTCAATCGGGAAAAATTTTTGAAGAGTAACAACTATAATCAAACTAAATGTTAATAAAACTAAGCTAATGAAAACATTGTTCGTTCATTTGAATGAATGAATCATTCATTAAGCGAAAGATCTTATCTATAACAGCTTGATAAATTTTGATATACAAAAATGAATAATTTTCATTTTATTTTTCAATCAGTATAAAATAAATAAATTTCTTTTACTTTTGCCGCAAGTAAATCGAAACATTTAGCCTAGGTAGTTTGAATAAATTTTGCTAAAAAGAGCCAGGTTGAAATGAAAATATAGTTTTATAAACCTAAAATAATAATGCTAAGAAAAGAGAGTTCTACTTGTTCTAATATTAATTGATATTTAAAATAACATTTGAAATGAAAATGTTAAATTTTATTTGCTAATTAAAATGTTTTTTTATAAATCGTATTTATCTAAATAAATTATCTAAATTATAGGGTTATGCTGGTATTGAAGTCAGAAGAACTCCCACCAAGACCGAAATCAGAATTAAGGCCACCAAGCCCTAATAAGTTATCGGTGTTGAAGGTAAGAAGCACAAGGAACTTACCCAATTCCTCCAAAAGAGATTCGGTTACTCTGATGACTAAATCCAAATCTGGGCTGAACCCATCAAGTTCAAGGGTTTATGCGCCTCTGCTTAAGTCGAAGCCATGAACTACAAGTTATTGAAGGACGTCCCCGTCAGATTGGCTGCTAACTACATCATCAAGTCCGTCATCCAAGATGGTGCTAAGGGTTGTGAAATCATTATCTCTGGTAAATTAAAATAACAAAGAGCTAAGACCATGAAGTTCAAGCAAGGTTATATGATCTGTACCGGTCAACCCAAGAACGACTACATCGATGTTGCCGTCAGACACGTCTTCTTCAAGCAAGTAATACCTTTCTTCATTTTAAATTATTAATTAATTCATTTACTAAAAGTCTCTAACTGTTTTTTTAAATAATTATTATAGGGTATTATGGGTGTTAAGGTAAAGATTATGTTACCCTACGAACCTAACCCAGCTAAGAAGTTCGGTGTTAAGACTCCTATCCCCGATAACGTTATTATCCACCCCCCCAAATAAATTACCGACGATAAGGAAATCAGAACCGCTGTTGAATAATAACAACCTGCTCAACCTGAACAACAATAATGATTTTGTTGATCAAAAATAATTTTAATATATATAAAAAACATATAAATATTATTCTGTACTCAATTTAATAATACTGTGTATGACTTGTTATTATTAATTCAGCTATTTAAATCAAACCACTCAAACTCCACTATTTTTAAACTTTAAATAAATATAAATCAAATCAAATAATTAAATAAATAAACAAAAAGAAAGAAAGACAAAGAATTTGAATTTTTGTCACAGCATTAATTAATAAACAAATATCATAAATTTAGTGATTTTATATCTTTCAATTATTAACAAAATATTGAAATTTAATCTGAAAAGCAAGTGGAAACAATTATTGTGATTTATCATTAATTCTTTTATTAACTTTTCATGCATACTTGCATAAATAAATTCAAGTTAAGAAATAAAACTACTCTAATTAATGATTAATTATATGTATTAAAAAATTTTAATATAATTATTGTAAGAAATGAAAAAAAAGATTCATAATTAATAACAAAAAACACTCAATTAAAGAGTCAGTTTTAATCATTAATTCTTATTTTAGCAAAAATCACAAAAAAATATCAACGAAACAAAATTAAAGCGAATAATTTCAACTTAAGCACCGATGGTTTAGTGGTAGAATAGAGCGTTGCCATCGCTTTGACCCGGGTTCGATTCCCGGTCGGTGCATTTTTTATTTTAAATGATTAATTTAAATTTAGAATTTATATTTAATATTAGAATTTTGTAAAATTAAATAAATAAAATAGAAAAAAGAAATGAATATTCTAATTTTAATTTATTATTTTTTAAATTTGTAAATTAATATTACTAATTAATCATATAAATATTATTAAGTGGTAATTATTAGAGCAATCTTTTCTTTTTTTATTTAACTAAATGAGTCAATTTACTTTTGAACAAATTAAGTAGGCTGGGCTACCTTAACATGATAGCTTAAGAAAAGAAATTGTTAGCTTCTTTTAGCTAAACGGATATATTTTAGTTGTAGACATTCCAGATTTAATGAGCATTTAAACTAAACTTTATAAAGAAATAGAATGTATGAATGAATAACATCACTACAAAGAAATGACTTATTCTAATCTAGGAATCGAGAAATAAAATGAAATTTTTGTCTACGCAAACAACATATACCCTTTGTAAAATGAAGAATTAGTAAAAAAAGTGCTGAAAATAAAAGACTAGGATTCTCCTGAAATATTATAAAGAGTAGATGCAAATTAAAATATAACAAAAAGTGAAAAAGATTTTGCAGATCTTAGTAGATAATTGTTTACTCTTTTATTAAAGTTAGTATTTACTAAAGAAAATGGACAAGCTTAAGCTAATTTAGATCCAAAATACAAAAATTTAGAATTGTTAAAGATAGTAACTCAATCATTTGAAAAATCAGAAGTTTAAAAGCTCAAATCCATATTCGATTTGACTGAAAATGCAAATACTATCAAAAAATTTATTAGCCCAGATTTTGGATTAGGAAGTTTAATTTCTCATTCAACATTAGATGAATAATAAACTAATGAAATATAACAAAATAAAAATGTTGTCATTCAATAAAATGATAATTAATAAACTTCAATTCATCTAAAAAGCACAGATGCTATTTTAACTTGTGGTGAGTTTTTATCAGAATTATCTGAAGGAGTTATAAAAAAACCAAAATATTTTATTTAGACACAAAATATAAATAATTGTCATAATTAATAAATTAATTAATAATTCTTTTATCCTAACTTTAATTTTGGAGATTTATTGCAATAAAGCAGACCAAATACTAACCAATAATCATTAGGATTGTACTCTCTGTATTCCAAAAATTTAATAAGTGATTGGATTTATAAGCATCATTAAAGAATGATTGACTTTCAAGCAAATGAGTATATTATACAAACACTGCATTAAGAAGAGCTCTATCCTTAAATAAATTTTACAAAAAAAAGCTTTTAAAAACAAGAAAACTAAATTGAATGTTTTCATTTTAATTTAATAGACTCAACTATGAATATAGCTAAGTTTTGGAAGAAGGTTTACGTAACAGAAAAAATCAGTTATGCTTTCTTAGCCGATTAACAATTTAAAGGATAAGGCTAACATAATAATGTATGGATATCTCCAAAAGGTAACTGTTATGTAACATTCTTAGTGAAGTATGATCCTTTGCTAAGTTATTGTTTACCATAACTTTCTGCAATTTCAGTAATTGAAACCCTTGATCTGTACATTCCTCAAGAAAAGAAATAAATTTCACCTGTGCTTAAGTGGATTAATGACATTTTTATGAATGAAAAGAAAATTTCTGGGGTACTTTGTAAAGTCGAAGATGAGCATGTATCTATAGGTATAGGAGTTAATCTAAATCACAGCCCAGTAGAAATAGCTGGATCTACATGTTTAAAGAGTGAATTAAGTTAGTAAAATGATATAGATATTTTTGAATTTATATAGCATCTATGGACTAAATTATCTAACAATCTATAAAAAGTTTCATAGCAAAACTCTTTTCAAGCAATTTTAGATAAAGTTCAAGAAAGGATGATGTATCTTAATTAAAAAGTTAAAATTTATGATTTGACATTAACAAATGTTTTATAAGAGGGTATCTTTAAAGGGTTAAGCGAATATGGAAATGCGTGGTTGCAAAGTTTAAGCGATCCTTAAGAAATAGAAGCAATTTACGAAGGAAGAATGAGATAATTTTGAATTTTATTTTAATTTAATCAATAAATTTGTAAATTACGTTTTAGAAATTTTCGTGTTAAATTATATGTTATTTTTGTATTACAAGAAAAATTATAAATAAAATAGGAATCAATAGAGATAAAAATTTCATCTTATTAAAATTTTTGATCAATTTTCAATCAAATTAAATTAAATAAATATTCTAATTTCTATTATATACTTTCTTTTTTAAAAGTTGAAAATAAAAGTTGAACAAAATAAATAAATATATTCAAATTTAATTTAAGTTTAATGTTTAAAAAATGTTAAAATTTTAATTTAATTTCAATGCATAAAAAGTAGAAAAAAATTAATTTACATCCACTTGATATAGAAGCAATTTAAGGAATAATAATAAGATACTTTTTAATTTAATTTTAATTGATAAATTAACATAAAATGTCTTAAAAGTTTTTATATTGTTTAATAAGGGGTGGAAATATTTTAAGAAAATTAAATAAATATAGAATAAGTTCATCGAACGAAATAAATTAAAATATTATTTAATTGTATAAAATTAATAATTAATAAATTTTCCTAATTTTTCTTTAGATTTTATTTTCTAAATATTGCATTATTTAAAAAAATAAGGAGATAAACTTATTCTCTTTGTATATTAAAAATATTTAAATAACTAATAGACATCATAGTATGATAGTATAGTCAGTTCTGAAAAAAATTTTAGTGCATATCTAATTACAAAATATATATTTAGCTCACTAAATACAAATTTTATACACAAAAATATATATTTTGATTAAAGAACAAAAATAATATTTAAATTAAAAAAAACTTAGGGAAAAAAATTAATTAATTAATCAATATTTTTATTCTTTAATCAAAATATATATTTTTGTGTATAAAATTTGTATTTTGTGAGCTAAATAAATATTTTGTAATTAGATATGAACTAAAATTTTTTTCAGAACTGACTATAATTACTACACAAAAATTTGCTTAATATTAACTTTTAAGAAAACTTTTTAAAACACAGATTTTAATTTAATTTTTATATTTTAAAAATTGTAGAAGTTTTAGTTTAAACTAACTTATAACTTCTATTTGTAAATAGGTGCTAAAAATCAAGATTATATTTTAAATAATATTATTTAATTAATATAATTTAAGATAAGGTTAAGCCTATCACACAATACACTTTATTTCTTAAAATTTATAAATTTAAGCATTTTTTATAATAACACATTTATTTTGTTAACACAAAAATGAAATAATAGTGAAAAAATAAATAGTTTTTAGGAAAGAATAATTAAATTGATGACTTTTAAAATTATAATTTTTTAGTTATCATTTATTTATTTATTATTTTAAGATGGCATGAATTTTTTTTTTCATTACCTAAAATTCTAGCTAATTTTTAATTACAAAATAAAATAAAATTATGATTTATTTTAATTTAAATGCTTGAATAAATAATTATTACATTTTAATTTAACTAATAATGAGTGAATTTCATCGAAAGAAAACCAATTTCTTCATTTTTTTACAACTTTACTGAATAAGTTATATAGACTAACTATTGATAGTAAGAGACCTTTTAAATGTTAACATTTTTAGTATTAAGAATTTGAAATGAATAAATGAATAGTTTTAATACAATAAATTCAAATTCAGGTAGAGTAAATTTTTTAGTAACTTTAAATACTTAACAATTTCAAAACATCCAAAAGAGTCATAAAAGTTATATCTTTTTAAATTAATATAAATTTTATTAATAAATTATAAAAAAATAATCATAAATACTCCATGTTTAGTAATAGACTTTTTAAGTTTTCTAATTTACTTAAAGATTATGCAATAGCTATTACTCCTTCGTTGTTTAATCTATTGTTACTTCATCAAAAAATGACTCAGAAAGAATCAAAGCAAAAATATTTTTACCTTAAATCAAGACTTAAATATAGAATATTTTTCCAACATTAAATTTACTCAGCTATTTAGTTCATATAATCATTCTTTAGTGTACATTTCCTAAGCATGATATAAATTGTTATTAAAATAACTTTAATCAAAGATACATATTTTACCAAAGGTATACCCTTAATATCTTTATATTTGTTAACTTCGAAATAGCATAAGCTATATGTAAAAACCCAAGAGATCCAATTTAACAATTTCTAAAATAATAAAAATTCTTAATAAAATATTTAGAATCAGTAAATTAATTACCCAAAGGAAAGAACTAGATATTTTAGATTAATGAGGTCAGCAACTTATTAGCTCATATTATAAATCCCTTAGGTTTAGATTTAATTACATCTGTTTTAGAAAGTTAAATTTAAAAATAAAATTAGAAGAAAAATTCATTTGTACCCTAAATATAATTGTAACTTTTGTAGATTTACATTTTATACTATATGTTCAGTTAATCTATTTAAATTATCGTTTTGTAATTGGCAATTTCTATGAATTTATTAAAAAGCAAAATATATTCTAAATTAACATATATAATTAATAAATATTACACAAGTTCTAATTTTAAAGAAATTAAATCTTTTTGCTAACTAATTTTTTCATAAATATCAACTAAATCTTGAGCACTTATTTTAATAAAACTATAAAAAATGAAATTATTTGATTTTGATAATTTATTGATTGTACCTTTTATTGATTTCTAATGCAGTTGATTCGTTTTGATCCTATTTAAATTTAATTATATAAAATTTAGAATTTAATATTTTTTAGTAAAGTTTTAAAAATACTTCTTGTGAAGCAGCTTTCATTCTTTAATTTAAATTGTTTTATTTTTCTTCCTATTTTATTTTACTTTTTTTTTTAATATTTATAACTATGTTCTTATTAAATTTATTTTTATAACTTTAATTTAAAAGAATATTTTTCTTATTTTATAAAGTTTCTTTATGCTTCCAAATAATTATTTTATTCTTAAAACATTTTTGTTAACTAATGAATTGTAATTAAGTATTTCACCGTAAGCACCGATGGTTTAGTGGTAGAATAGAGCGTTGCCATCGCTTTGACCCGGGTTCGATTCCCGGTCGGTGCATTTTTTTAAGTTATATTTGCTATCAAAATTATTAGTTTTGTTAAGTTTTAAAAATTTTTCCTTTTTTAATTAATTTTATTTAATTTATTCATTTTTTAATCTTTCTTTCTTTAATATTTTTATTAACAATTATAAACAATTAAGGGGAGGAACATGTGAGATTTCACTATTAAAGTGAATGGAAAAATAAATTAAAAAAAATTTTTTTAGGTCTCAACTAACTTCCCAAAATTAATAATTTTATTTAAAAATTTAGTTATTAATGTTTGATTGAAAAATTTTATAGTAAAGGGATAAATTAAAAAAATATAGATATAATAATTAATTATAAATTTAGAGTAATCTAAGCATTTAAACTTCGTATCTACTCTATAAATATTTTTTAATAGCAAAATCATAAAGAATAATAGAATTTCAGAACTCCCTTTTCTAAATTTATATAAATAGAAATAATAACATATAAAATATTTTTAAAATTTATAACAATATTATAATTTGATTTAGTAATTAGCTGCAAAAAAAAATAAAAAATATGACATAAAAATAATGCTACTAAAAGCTAGAAGATGTAAACAAACAGTATACAATCAAAAAAATTAATAATATTATTATTTACTTAAAAAAAATTCTTAACTATTTCAATATTTTCTCAAACTAACTTAAATCTCTCCTTAAGGATAGAAAATAAATATAAATAAATTTTAAATGGAAAATCAAAATAAAAAAAATTAATATTTACATATTTATTTAACTAAAAATAAAGCATATGATAATTTCACCACTGATTGTAGTATATAAAAAAAACAGCTTTTTTAATATTTAAATCTTTAAAAATACAAATATTGTAATTTTATTAATTAAAAATATAGATGTATAGGAGATTTATATATTTTTAATTTAAGTTCTACTTTAAAAAAATGCACTGACCTCACAAAATTATTTTTAAATCTTAGGTATGATTTTATTTAATTAATTATTTTAAATTTATAATATATAGTAGTAATATTGCATGCACAAAAAAAAACTAGATTAATATAATAAATAAAAAATTATTAAATTTATGAATTTTGTATTTGGTTAAATATTTGATTTATTGATTTTGTGTTAGCATGCAATATTATTACTATATTAATATTATTAGAAGAATTGTAAAAAAATATTCACTTTTTATTATTTGAATAAATTTTACTAAATTTAAATAAAAGTAAATTAATCAAAATGTCATTTTTGAAAAAAAAATACTATAATAGTGATAAAGAAATAGAGGAATAAGATGGATTTTATATAGGATCTGGGATAACATAATGTATCAAACTTTAAGAATTAGATCTAAATTTTAAGTAAACTAATAATTATTTAGTTATATTTTTTATTTTTAAAATTAAAAGCATATTTAACAAATTCTTTAATATTTAATAAAATAAACTATTTTTTTGATGTTAATTTAATTTCAGGGGAAATAAAATTGGAGACTAAGGCTAAAATTTATTATTTATGAGTTTGTCGAACTGTAAAAATCTATTATCTTTAAAAATTAACCTAAAGTTAAATTTTTTAATTTACTTTTTTTATCCATTAAAGTATTTCTTTTTTGTATAGAAAAGTGTATTTTTATGTAGATATTTTATTAAGATAAAAATCTTAAATTAAATATAAATATTAATTGATTTTTTTAAAAAAAGAAAAAATAAACTAGGAGAAAGGTGTTTTTCTAATTTAAATTCTACTTTATTGGAATTAAAAAACCTTTTAAATTTGACTCTAAATTTTAAGTAAATAAATTTTATTTAGATGTATTGTTTTATTTCTAAGGAGTAGGAACAGCAAAAAATATATAATTTAAAAAAATTACACCATTGTTTTCTTATTTTGCTTGATATTTTAAAATTTAGATTACTTCAAGCTTTTAAACACAAGTTATTAAAATTTTTAAATTCTTAATTCTGTATTAAATTAAAAATTTTAGCCATATTTAATAAGAATTTTTATAATGAAAAATTAAAAGATAAAACTAAATTAATAATTCTGGTGCTTAAAGTTTAGGCTCTGCAATAGCCAACTGTGAATAGCTTTAAAATTTAGTACTTAAGCTTAGGTAAAGATTATATATTTATAATATTTACTGCATTATATGAAAGAATAACTTTGTTAAAATTCAAACTAATTAAATTTTACATAATTAACTCTTAAAAAAATATTATCAGTTCTGCATATTAAATTTTTTAACTTTTAATATTTAATAAATTAAAAGTAAGAATGAAATTGGAAAAAGTGGTAGAGTAGGACTATGTTAAGGTATAGCAATGTGTGTCAGCTTATAAAGTTTACAATTATTTTTGGGGTAAAGTTATTGTTTAATTTTAATTTCAAATAAAAAGAAACTAAAAAATCTATTTTTATTGTATTTTTGCTAAATTTAAAATATATGTTTAGTATTAAAATTATTTAAAATACCATCAAACTAATATTTAAAATAATAATAGATAACATATAGTAGAACCTTTCAATTCATATTCATAATTATCTGCTCTAGCAACATGCAAAAAACTATAAAAATTATTGTTTGACTTTTAGTAAAATAATTTTTAGTTATTTTAAATAAATTTCATATATCAGTAATTTGTTTAATGAAATTTACTACTTTAACTTGGAATAAAATTTTAATTATAAATATATATTTCTATTTAATATTAAATTAAAACAATATCAATTAATTCATTTTTGAAAGAAAAAATTAGATTAATGATTAAGATGTACAAACTCTAGGATCTGCTTTGCTAAATTTTTATCACATCTCTTCTTTAAAATTATGTTTGAAGTAATTTACTTAGCTATCATAATAATTTAAATATTTTTCAGTAGTATTACAATAAAATTCCTTTTTAAATTTTTTAAATTATTTTTTCTATTTAAAATATTATCTCTTTCTTTCATTTTAAATTATTTATTAATTTTATATGAATTTAATTTAAATGAATATTAAAAAAGGGATAATTGTATTGGGATGCAAGGAGCTAGGAGCTTAGCCATGGCTTTGACTAAGTTTAATAATTTATCAACTTTAGATTTAAATTTAAGGTATTCTTTTAACAAATCCCAAATAATATTTTTTAATTAAAATTTTTCGTTTATAAAATTGAAACATTTATTTATTTGGTATACATTTTTAAATAGCTTTTTCTAGTTTTTTTTTTTTTACTTAAATTTTTTTATTTCAAATGTAATCTGTTAAAATTTTATTTATAAAAGAAAAAATAATATTGGTGAAGAGGGTATATAATATTTGGGTAAATCTATATCAAACTGTTCCAATCTTTCAATTTTAGGACTTGAACTCTAGTAAAAATTAAATAAAAATATTATTTTTACATTATTATTTGTTTAAATTATTTTGCGAATTAAGCATTTTTTTTAAACTCAAATCTAAATATTAATTATTTTTTTTCAATTAAATATTATTTCTTTGATTTTGAAGGTTTATGAAATAATCTTAAAAATTTTTTAATACTAAAGTGATAACAATATTGGATAGAAAGGAGTAACAAATTTAAGTACTAATTTATAAAATTGTAAGAATCTCAAAGAAGTGAGTCTCTGGTTAGGGTAAAAGATTGTTTTATTATTTGAAATGTTCATCATTAAATATTAAAATAAATTAAAAAACTAAATCATGTTTTTCATGTTTTGTAATCAAAAAAGGTGCAATTACATAGAAGATTAAGGAGCTTATGATTTAGGACAAGCTTTATCGAAATGCAATAAATTATAAAGTTTAATTTTATGGCTTGGGTAAAAATATTAATTTTTCAGATATTGATTTAAAGTGTTTTGCTACCAATTTATCATTCTAAGATATAATTTAAGTTAGCAATTTTAATTTAAAATACTAAATATTAATTTATTTCCTAAAAAGATACAACAATATCAGTACTTTAGGGGTATAGGGTATATATCCGATTTTATTAGATTGCACTAAGCTTTCAGTTTTAGAATTAGACTTTTAGTAAAAATTATTTTTTATTAACCAGAAAATTAATATTATTAAATATAATTTTAGTTTATTGTTTTTTCATATTATCAAATTTATTTTTGATTAATTTAGTTAAAAATATACTTTTTAATAGAGAGAATAACATTTTTGGAACAGATGTCTTAAATTTAATTTCTGCTATTAAAAAGTCTACCAATATATTTATTTTAAGCATAGATTTATAGTAAAATTAATTAAATAACTTAGATTTATTATGAATTTTTTTTATTTTTTTATACTTTTACTAAATTTATTCTTTTGTAAACAATATTTTATTTATAGCTTTAATCAAATTGACAAAAAATAATAATCAAAGATAAAACAGAGGATCAATAAATTTAAGAGATTAGTCAAGAAGCATATTTGCTTTTGATATTGATTTAAAACTAAAAATTTGTTATAGATATATATTTAAATGTTTAGAAAATAAAAAAATCGAATAGTAAATTTGATTTAAATTATTTTCTTAATTTTATTTTTTTAAAAACGAGCAAAATTATTAAATTAATTATTTTTATTGTTTTTTTTAATAGATAATCTAATTCACGCATATAAATGTATTTTATAAATGATGTTATTTTATTATTAATTAGGCTGAATAGCTATATAGTTTATGTTTATAAGATATATATATTATGAAACTTTGTTAAATTAATATGAATTTAATAATATATAAAATAAATTCCTTATTTATTTTGACTGGTGGATATTCAAAAATACTAAATATTTGAAGTATTTTTCTTGCTTTAATTTATTTAATTTGTTAAAAAAAAGGAGTAACTATTAATTATAAAAAATTTAGAAATAAATTAAAGTAATCAGATTCTGATTGAATTAAGTAAATCAATAACAACTCACTATTATTAGATTAATTTACAATTTTTAATTGTAACTTTTGATATTACAGTTGTATTACATATTAAAAATATGAATCTGGGTACACCGACCCAAGCCAAAATTTTCTTCCAAAAAACCCTAACATTTTTGAAATTATAAATATTCAGAAAATATGGTGAAAATTTATGCTGGTGAGAATTTATGAGGATTTATGGTATATTTATTCTAATGTTAATAAAAATTTAAAGTTAGAAGATTTAAAATAAAATACTAATTATGTAATAAAAATATTTAGTTATTTATGTATACAAGAGGTAATATTAATGATAAAATAAGATTTTACCTGTTAATAGATAATTAAGTTTATGTTTCTAACTCATTTTTCCAATAACAGATGTATTAAAAATATAAAGATTTATCAGTAGATACTCTATTTTGAGATAATGATTTTAATATTGTTGTTTAAACTACTACTTCATAAACAACTAAAATAAAAAATAAAGAATTAAACAATGCAATAAGGTTTGATTGATTGAGTTATTAATATAAGTATTAAAACATGTTCTATTTTTTAAATACATATTAAGTTTTACATTTATTTTAAATATATTTATTTACTAATGACATGTTTAGAATAAATGAGCGAATACAATCTTTTAAATTTACCTTAGTAATAATTAAATTATTTAAATTAATGTATTTCAAGGATTTGATATTTAACGAATTAAAAAACCTGCATTTATTTAATACAAACAAATATTATTTATAAACTAAAAGTATAAATTCAAAAACAATCAAAACTTTTTGATTTTATCAATAAATCCTATTACTAAAGCATAATATATTATATAAAGAGGAAAAAAAGAAAGATAAAATATGATAATCTTTAGATTATTGCCAAGAATGTCAAAATAAATATTATTATGATAATAACTAATGTATTATATGTTATAAATAATGTAGAAGTTAAGAATACATTGAGAATTTTGTATAATAAAAAATAAATACATAGTTATATTTTTTTAAGCTTTTTAAAAAGTAAAAAAACTTCTTTTTAATTAATAAAAACAACAATGAACAAGTTATTAAATATTAAGATAGTTTTATATAAAAGCTTCATATTAGCTTTATGTTCTAAAATATTTGTTAAAAAACTTTCTAAGTTTATGAATTGTATTAAGCAATTATTTTAGTTTCTTAATTTTATAATTTTATTTGCTAGAAAACACATAAGCAAATTATACAAGATTATTTTCTTTAATATATATATAATTGTTATGATATTCTCAATTTTTTTAATTAAAAAAATACTTATCTTCTCAAATACTACAATAAAAATAGTTGTTTTTATTATAATTATAAATTTTATAATCTTCTCAATTAGTATAATTATAATTGTTTATTTTTTTTCACAACTTCCATAATAGTAGATATTTTTTATAATAAAAACATATTTATATATTTATGTTTAAAGAAATTAATTTTTTATTATTTTATATAATGCGAGATTAATTTAATACCCTTAAAAGTTCTTGACTACTAGAGTAAAATATGAAAGAGAATTAATTACACATAGCAAAGCTTTAAACGGCATAATATTAAATACAAAATTATAACTAAAACATAAAGAATTGTTTGATATAGAATTTTGTGATAATATTAAAAATGATAAAGAAATTTAAGTTAGAAACAAACAGATGTCAAAAACCATTACAGAATAACTACTAATTTCCAATATGATTAATGAAAATTTAATAAATAATATTTAAAATCTAAAATATTATAAATATACTTTATAAAAAGGTATTGAATTAATAGAAAGTGATAATCCAACATTATTTAAAAACAATTTAATATTTTTTTTAGCTGCTACTAACATAAAGCTTATAAAATCGAGAATAATTAGAAGGAGCAACATAATTTAGACATAAATAATTAAGAGAAATATGTTCTTAATATAATATCTGTAACAACTATGTCATGGATATTAAACATTTAAGAAAGCCTTAAAGTTTAGATAATAACTTTGATCTTGCAAAGAAGAAAATATTGAGTAAATTAGAGAGTAAATCGTTTTTAAAATAATTATAATCAAGGATTCAAATATTATGAGACATAAATAAGTTATTATGTTATAAAATTTAGTGTTAAAATATTTATTTCGATTAATTAATATCTAACTTAAATAGAGCATAAAAAATTTAATCGAAAAAGGTTTTTGTTTCTTTTAAATTGATATTACTCAAGACTTTTTTGGTGAATTAGATAAATAGAAAACGATTCAATATTTGTTAAAAAAATCAAAAAATAGAGATGATTATGATAATTTTAATGTTTACAATAATAATGGTATGATATTGGATAATGATTAAAGTGTTGGGTAAAATTGTTTATCTAATTTAATTTCTAAATATGGATATTAAACAAGACATAAAATTTATAATAAATTCGTTTGTTGATTGACATCTACCAGCGCTTAGAAGATATGTTTAATCATTTTATTTATATATTTAATTCAAATACATATAATTTAAGATATTGGTTTTAAGGATATTAAAAAATTGGTTTAACGAGATTTGAGATTACTGTTTATTATGGTTTATTATGGTGAAATATTACAAATATAATTTTATAAATAATTAATAAGAGTATTTTTTATTTATTTAGAAAATTGTATTTTTGTGTAAATATTTTATTAAGATAAAAATATTAAATGCTTTTTTAAAAAAAGAAAAAATAAATTACGAGAAAGGAGTTTTTCTAATTTAAATTCTACTTTATTAGAATTAAATAACCTTTTAAATTTGACTTTAAATTTTAAGTAAATAAATTTTCTTTAGGTGTATTGTTTTATTTCTAAGGAGTAGGAACAGCAAAAAATATATAATTTAAAAAAATTATAAGATTGTTATATTAATATTCTTTTTTTGCTTGATATTGTAAAATTTAGATTACTTCAAGTTTAACACAAGTTATTTTATTTTTAAATTCTTAATTTTGTATTAAATTAAAAATTTTAGACATATTTGATTTTTTTTTTCAAAAAAATTAATCAAATATTTAATAATAATTTTTATAATGAAAAATTAAAGATAAACCTAAATTAATAATTCTGGTGCTTAAAGTTTAGGCTCTGCAATATCCAACTGTGAATAGATTTAAAATTTGGTACCTAAACTTAGGTAAAAGCTGTTTATTTATACTATTTACTGCATTATTTGAAAAAATAACTTTGTAAAAATTCAAACTAATTAAATTTTACATATATAACTCTTAAAAAAATTTTATCAGTTCTGCATATTAAATTTTTAAACTTTTAAACATTAAAAGTAAGAATGAAATTGAAAAAGTTGTAGAACAGGTCTATGTTAAGGAATAACAATGTGTGTCATCTTATAAAGTTTACAATTATTTTTTGGGTAAAGTTATTGTTTACTATAATTTAAATTTCAAATAAAAAGAAACGAAAAAATCAATTTTTATTGTATATTGCTAAATTTAAAATATATGTTTTATCAACAAACTAATACCTAAAATAATAATAGATAATATATAATAGAACCTTTCAATTCATATTCATAATTATCTGCTCAAGCATCCTGCAAAAAACTATAAAAAATAGTGTTTGACTTTTAGTAAAATAATTTTTATTTATTATAAATAAATTTAATATAAATGAGTTATTTGTTTAATGAAATTTACTACTTTAACTTAAAATAAATTTCATAATAAATAAATATTTCTATTTAATATTAAATTTAAACAAAATCAATTAATTCATTTTTGAAAGAAAAAATTAGATTAAGGATTAAGATGTACAAACTCTAGGATCTACTTTGCTAAATTTTTATCACATCTCTTCTTTAAAATTATGTTTGAAGTAATTTACTTAGCTATATTAATTTAAATATTTTTCAATAATACTATAATAAAATTTCTTTTTATATTTTTTAAATTATTTTTTTCTATTTAAAATATTAGCTCTTTGTCTCATTTTATTATTTATTAATTTTATATGAATAATTTAAATTAATATTAAAAAAGGGATAATTATATTGGGATGAAAGGAGCCAGTAGCTTAGTCATAACTTTCACTAAGTTTAATAATTTATCAACTTTAGATTTAAATTTAAGGTATAAATTTAAAATACTAAAAATAAATAAATTTGCAAAAAAGAGACAATAATATCAGTACTTTAGGGTATAAGGAATATATCCAATTATATTAGATTACCCTAAGCTTTCAGTTTTAGAATTAAACTTTTAGAAAAGTTATTTTTTATTTGCCAGAAAATATTTTTTTAAAATCTTTATCATTTTTAAAATAATAAATATTACTAAATATAATTTTAGTTTATTGTTTTTTCATATTTTCAAATTTATTTTTGATTGATTTAGTTAAAAATATACTTTTTAATAGAAAGAATGACATTTAAGAACAGACATTTTAAAATTAATTTCTGCTATTAAAAAGTCTACAAATCTATTTATTTTAAGCATAAATTTATAGTAAAATTTATTAAATATATAGATTTATTTATTTAGGAAATGAATTAGATTTGTTTTTTATTAATCACTTAAAAAAATATATTTATATAATTTTTGTTATATCTTTAGAGAGGGTAAAGATATTTTTTAAAATAGATTATGAATTTTTTAATATTATTATAATTCTACTAAATTTATTCTAATTTCATAAATAATATTATATTATAGTTTTAATCAAATTGATAAAAAGTACCAATCAAAGATAAAGCAAACGATCAATAAGTTTAAAAGATTAGTCAAGAAACATTTTTGTTTTTGATATTGATTTATAACTTTAAATTTGTTTTTGATACTTATTTAAATGTTTAGAAATTATAAAAATCGAATAGTAAATTTCATTTAAATTAGTTTCTTAATTAGATTTTATTTTTTAGAAAATGAGCAAAATTTTAAATTAATTATTTTTATTGTTTTTTTAAAAGATAATCTAATTCACGCATATAAATGCATTTTATAGATGATGTTATTTGATTAGTAATTAGGCTGATTAGCTCTTTATTTTATGTTTAAAAGATTTATATTATGAAACTTGGTTAAATTAATATGAATTTAATATATATAAAATAAATTCCTAATATATTTTGACTGGTGGATATTCAAAAATACTAAATATTTGGAGTATTTTTCTTATTTTAATTTATTTAATTTATTAACAAATAAGGAGTAACTATTAATTATAAAAAATTTAGAAATAAATTAAAATAATCTGATTCTGATTGAATAAAGTAACTCAATAAGAACTCACTATTATTAGCTTAATTTACTTTTTTTAATTGTAACTATGTGATTACTATTATTTTACATATTTTATTTAAATTAGAAAAAGAAAAATAATATTTAAGAGTAAAAAACAATGTGACAGAAATTTTGGAAAAATACTTTTGAGTAAATATAATTCTTTTGATTGAAATTTAAATTTCGCTTTGGAATAGAAAGTTTGATGAAAGGAAATTTTAATTGAAAGATATTTATTATCAAAATCATTTACTTTCCTTAATTCTTTATTATTTATGTAATTATCTGAATAATATTAGCTAATTATATTTGTGTCCTTAACCAATTTAAATTAAATATAAAAAACTCAAATAAATCTTTAATAAATTTATAAATATCTTTTTAAAAAGCGAAAAGTAGCATATGAAAATATTTGACACTTTTCATTCTTTGTGCTTATTAAAAAGCAATATAGGTGTTATATTAAAAGAGAAAAAATCTACTTATACGAACTGAATAACTCTTTATTAATATAAATAAACAATGTTAAGAGTAAATTTTTTAATCAAAAGATTTAATCAGTTTTTAATATCGAAAAAGGTTATTAAGAAAAGTTAAATAAAAAGAGTGGCTTTGGCCACTTAGAAATCTGTAATTTGAAGATTTAATCAAATAAATTAAAGATCAATAAATTTAAGGTCAGCTTCTAAAAATAAGGAATAGTGAAAAAATTCAGGATAATTTAAAGTTAAAAAATGCATTTTACACATAAAAAATAATGAATTATTAAATTAAATAAAAATATAGTCAGTCAATCAGTCCTTATAAAAAAGTATAATGATTAATAGTACTTGTTTATAATTAATAATAATTAAAAAAATTCAATTTTAAAGTTTAAAAAATTTTAGTAATAATCATTAACATTAAATTTTAATATAATGTTGACAACTGTTCAAGATGGCGGTTAATCTCCGCAAAACAAAGACCCACTAACAAACTTCTAGATAGATGATATTGAAATGCAAAACATTCAACCATAGTAAATTGTACCTTTTAACTAAACAGAATAAGCTTTAGACTAAAAAGAATAAAAACAAAAAAACTAAAAAGAAGCTCCTAAAAAGAAAAATAAATCTAAACTCCCTCTTACTGCTCTTTTCAGATTTGCTACAAAGTAAGATTGGACTATGATGATTATTGGTAGTATCGCAGCTTTGTTGAATGGTCTTTCTTATCCTTCTTTTTCTCTTATATTTGGTTAGATGATAGATTCTTTTGGACCTACTTCTACTGGAGATGATTTAGTAAAAGCAGCTGGAACATAGTGCATTTATTTTGCAATTATTGGTATTGCAAGTTTCTTATTAAGTTGGGTAAATAATTATTTATTCTTTTACAACATATTCTCCTATATAATTCTAATTTTCTAATTGTATTCTTTTTTCTTTTTAGATATAACTTGGCTGCTGGATGATCACTGGCGAAAGATAATCAATAGAATTTAGAAAACATTATTTTAAAGCAATTATTAATTAAGAAATTGGATGGTTTGATTAAGTCAATCCAAATGAACTTTCAAGTAAGATAGCATCAGAATGCGCTCATATTTAAGAGGCTATAGGTGAAAAGGTTGCAACATATTTAATGAGCATAAGCACAGCAATTGGTGGTTTTGCAGTTGGCTATACAAGAGGTTGGTAGATGGCCCTAGTTTCAACTGCAGCCCTTCCAGTTATTATTTTAGGAGCTGCTTGCTATACTCTTGTCATGCAGAAATCTTAAAAGGCTATTTCTGGATCTTATGAAACTGCTGGTGGTTTAGCAGAATAAAGTTTAAATGCTATTAAAACAATTAAATCTTTAACAGGAGAAGAATTTGAACTTTCTGTTTACTCAAGAAGTCTCAGTGATGCATTTAAGATAGCTTGCAGATATGGTGGATTAGCAGGAGCAGGAATGGGTAATAATTATTAAGCAATCAATTAACTTAAAAAGCTTTAATTTAGAAAGAATCATAAATAAATAAAGTTACAAATAGCATATTTGAATTAGTTAATTAATCAATTAAAAGCTTTTGTTGATTTATTATTTTATGCAATTTTTAAAATTTAATTACTCTGTTAAATTTTTAAGAAGATAAAATTAATCTAACTTTCTTTAAATTATAAAAGGTTTAATGCTCTTAACTATGTTTTGTGATTATGCATTAAGTTTTTGGTATGGTTCTTAGCTTATCTCTGAAGGTGTCTATAATTAAATTTATGATCGTAATTATACTCAAGGTGATGTTTACGTCATTTTCTTTTCAGTTTTAATTGGTGGTTTTTCTTTTGCTTAGATCGGCCCATGCTTATCAAGCTTTGAAGTTGGAAAAGAAGCTGCAGAAAAAGTGTTCAAAATTATGGATAGAGCTCCTTTAATTTAAATGCCTAAAGATCCTAAAATAATTCCTAATATTTAAGGTGATATCGTTTTTGATTAAGTAGAATTTAGATATCCTGCTAAAAAAGATATTCCTGTTCACAGAAAACTAAGTTTAAGAATACAGCCTAATAAAAAGACAGCTCTTGTAGGTGAATCTGGATGTGGTAAATCAACTGTTATGCAACTCCTCTTGCGTTTTTATGATCCTGAGTAGGGAAGTGTTGCAATTGATGGATATGATGTAAAAACTCTTGACTTTAGATGGCTCAGAAATAATGTTGGATATGTTGGTTAGGAACCTGTCTTATTTGCAACCACAATCCGCGAAAATTTGAAATTCGGTAAGGAATCTGCAACTGAAGAAGAAATGATTGAGGCCCTTAAATAGGCTAACGCTTGGGAATTCGTTTCTCAATTAGAAAATTAATTAGACACTTTTGTTGGTAATGCTGGAAGTTAGATTTCCGGTGGTCAAAAACAGAGAATCTGTATTGCTCGTGCTATCCTTAAGAATCCACAAATTCTTTTACTCGATGAAGCTACAAGTGCCTTAGATAGAAAGAATGAAGCTATGATTTAGAAAACACTAGATGAAATTTCAAAGGGTAGAACAACAATTGTTATTGCTCATAGATTGACTACTATTAAAAATGCAGACGAAATTCTCGTTATTGATCATGGTAAATTAGTAGAATAAGGTAGTTATGACTAATTAATTGAAGCAAGAGGTAAATTTGAAGCACTTGCTAAAAATCAAATCTAAAAAGAACAAAAAGATGATGAAGAAAGAAAACAAAAAGAAGAGTTATAAAAAGAAGATTAAAATGAATAACCAGAAAAATTAGCACAAAGCATTTAACAAAGAAATAGTAGTATCTTCTAAAATGCTCTTTCAAAAGAAGAACAAGCTGCACAAGATGAGTAAGAAAAATAAGCTTACTTTAAATAGCTCGAGAAAAATATGTGGACCAGACTTTTCACTATGAACAAGCCTGAAAGACCTCAGTTTATTTTTGGTATATTCTATACTGCCTTAAGTGGTGCTTGTTTCCCCCTATGTGGCTTGATTCTCGGTGAGTTTATCAGTGTACTCTCTGATCCACATGCTTCTGATTTTGATAGCAAGCGTAGTATGCTAGCAATTTATTTTATCATTATTGGTGTTATTGGTTTCTTTTTGAATGTTTTAAAGTTCTACTACTTTACTAGAGTCGGAGAAGGTTTAACCATGAGAGTAAGATAAGAGCTTCTTAAAAAAATGCTCAAAATGCCTGGAGGATGGTTTGATAAAAGTGAAAATAACCCTGGTACTTTAAGCGCCCGTTTGGCTTCAGATGCACATTTAATTAATAATTTGACTTCTAATGTCGTACAAGTTTAAGTATTTAACTTCGCTACATTCCTAACAGGTTTTGTTGTTGCATTTGTATACTCTTGGAGAGTAGCTTTAGTAGCTATTGCTGTTTGCCCATTTGTTGTTGTAGCTGGTACTATTCGTGCTAAAAAGGTCTAAGGTTTTAGTGAAGGTAGTGACAAAGCTTACAAAGACTCTGGTATTATTATTATGGAAGCTGTTACAAATATTAGAACTGTTGCCTCCTTTGCTAACGAAAAGAAGTTAGGTTAATTTTTAGATGATACTTTAGTAGAGCCATACTCTATCGCTTTCAGAAAAGGTCATATCTCAGGAGTTCTATTAGGATTTTCATAAATTGGAACTTTTGCAGTTTATGCAGTTATTTTTATTTGCAGCGCAGTTTTCGTGAGAGACTATGGAGTTACTCCTCGTGAAATGTTTGTTTCTATCTTTGCCGTTTTGAATGCAGCCACTTCTGCAGGTAACAATAACCATTTTATGGGTGATGTTGGAGCTGCTAAAGCCGCTTGCAAAGAAATATTTAGAATTATTGATTCCCCAGATGAAGTATAATAATAATAATTACGCAGAGCTGAACTAAAAATAGATAGTAAGCCATTGGTAGTTTAAAAAATCAAAGGTGATATAGAGTTTAGAAATGTCTCCTTCAAATACCCCACAAGAGATGCCACAGTCTTTAGACATTTATCATTTAAAGTTAATGCTGGATAAAAAGTGGCTTTTGTTGGTCCAAGTGGTTCAGGCAAATCATCTGTGCTCTAATTATTATTGAGATTTTATGATAATTACGAAGGTTAGATTTTAGTTGATGGTGAAGATATTAGAAATTATGACATCAAAGAATTTAGAAAGAACTTCGGTGTTGTAAGTTAAGAACCTACATTGTTCTAAGGAACTATTGCTGAAAACATTAAATATAACACTCCAGATGTTGGTTTTAAAGAAATTAGAGAAGCTGCCTAAAAAGCTAATGCCTTATCTTTTATTGAATAAAAAGAAGATGGAGTATAAGATGGTTTCCAAAAGTAGGTTGGTCTAAAAGGAAGCTAAATTTCAGGAGGACAAAAGTAAAGAATTGCAATTGCTCGTGCAGTTATTAAAAATCCAAATGTTATGCTTTTAGATGAAGCAACCAGCGCTCTTGACCACGAAAATGAAAAAATCGTCTAAGAAGCCTTGAACTAAGTAATGAAAGGAAAGACTAGTTTGGTCATTGCTCATAGACTCTCCACTATTGTTGATAGTGATTAAATCTTTGTCATAGAAGGAGGTAAGTTAGTAGAATAAGGCACTTTTGATGAACTTATGTCTAAAAAACAATTCTTCTATAGATTAAACAACAGCTGAAGAATAAATTTAAACAAATTTATAAAATATTTAAAGCATAGTATTTTTGTACTTTATATTCAAATTTCGTCTACTTATTATATCATTAAAATATCACTACCTTAATTATCAAAATATTTTAAATTTAAATTGATTATAATAGTTAAATTTTATAACGAAACGTAATAAGTTAATGCTAAAGCAGATAAAGTATTAAAAAAATTTAATTAAAATCCCACAAACTAAATTGAAAAATATATTGATTGTAATATTCTTATTTTCTTATTTGGCAACTGTAAAAAATATGTAAATGCCAATCTTAAAAGCTAAAATTAATAAAAATATTTTTATCATAATAATACAATAGATAAACAAAAATGAAAAAAACTATCTTTTGACTTTTATTAAAAAAAATAACACAATTTTAATAGTTAAGGAATGCATCCCACTATTTATTCAGTAAATAATTAATAGATTATTTTGTATTATTTTGAATGAATTACATTTAGCAGTTAATCAAATAATACATAGATAATTGTCTTTAAAAAAAACAAACATATTAAAATAGATTAAATATAAAGCAAATTTTTATTTATGAAATTTAATTAAGGATAAATATAAACAATAATATTATTTTAAACTAATTATACAAAGATATTTTAAAAGAGGATTAATTATAAAAAATAAACTATTCACATTTCTTTTAAAAAAATTAATTCATTTAATTATTATTTGAATAAAATACAGTCAAAATCATTAGGCTTTTCAATTTTATTATATTTGAATTTTAGATTAAAAGACTACTACTATTAATTCAATACCCAACATATTCATTTTTATATTATTTGAAGTTAGCAATTAATATAAAAATAAATAGATTCTTGTCTACTTAAAAACGGTAAATAAATTAATTAAAAAAGGAAAATTGAATTTATCTTAGAAATATTAAATATAAAAAGATATAAAGAATAATATTGTATTAAAATCAATTTTAATAAGACATTTTAGATTAAGATTATCTATCTAATTATCTAAATAAATTATAGATTGCTTTTTAAAAATTAATCAATTTCAATTTTATTAGAATGAAGTAAAGCCAATATCAGTAGGCTACATCTAATTTTATTACATTTGAATGTTAGATTAAAAGACTGGCTAATATTTAATATTGATTTGTAAAAATTAAGAATAATCAAAAAATAATTAAAGTTCTATTACCTAAATTACTTTAGATTTCTATTTATTACTGTATTCAATTTTAATTTTAGTTCATTAACCTTTAGCAGTTTGATAAAAACTGATTCTGTATATGTAATCTAGTTTATTTCATTCTTTTTTATCATCAATATTAATGCATTTAATTAAAATAGATTCTTAAACTTCTTTTTAATTATATTTATTACAAAATGCTAATTTTGTTTGAATTTATTTTAGTTTTAAATATTACTTTCAATATTATTAACTAAATATTTATAATTAATAATACAAAAATATTTATATAAATGTTAGAAATACAATAAAATACAAACTAAAATTAAAGAGGGGATCAATAATCTCCATTAAACAAAGAGCCTCTCAAGGAAATTAATTATGATATTGAAATGCAAAATAAAAAGGATTAAACTACAAAGCAAGTAAATAATCCTAATGTAGATGAAGAAAAATAAGAACTTAAAACTGTCACTTTTATATAAATGTTGAGATATGCTAATAAAACTGATTGGGTTCTTATGGTAATAGGAAGTATTGCTTCAATGGCAAACGGTGTAGCCTTCCCTATGTTTGCACTTATTTTTGGGTAGATGACAGATTCTTTTGGCCCTAATGCAACTGGTGATGATTTGGTTGATGCTGCTGGTAAGCAATCTTTATACTTCTTCCTTATTGGTGTTGGTAGCTTCATAATGAGTTGGGTAAATATTTATTTTTTAAAAATAAAAGAAATCTTATTTATTTATTTTAACATTAGATTTAGCTTGGATGTTGGATGATATCAGGAGAAAGATAATCAATTAAGTTTCGTTAGGAGTATTTCAAAGCAATTATTAATTAAGAAATAGGGTGGTTTGATTAAATTAATGCAAACGAACTAGCAAGTAAAATAGCTACTGAAAGCTCATAAATATAAGGTGCTCTTGGTGAAAAAGTCCCTACATTTTTGATGAGTATTTGCATGACTATTGGTGGGTTTGCAGTTGGATATATTAGAGGTTGGTAAATGGCTTTAGTTACTACTGCTGCTCTACCTGTACTAATTATAGGTGCAATTTCTTATACTATGGTTATCTAATAATCTCAAAAGAAGATATCTGGAGCCTATCAAACATCTGGAGGTTTAGCAGAATAAAGTTTAAATTCTGTCAAGACAATAAAATCCTTAACAGGAGAGGAATTTGAATTGCAGTAATACTCAAGAAGCTTAGTTTAAGCCTTTAAAATCGCTTGCAAATATGGCGCTTACGCTGGAGCTGGCATAGGTATTTAATTTAATATTTTCTTATAAAATTTTGTTACTCGTAAATTAAAAATAAAGAGATTAGTTTTGGTTACTTTTGAAAAATTGTAAATTTTACAATTTCTATTTACATAATCAAATTGAATAATTCACTTGAATTTTTGTCATTCATTTTAAAACAAACAACTCAATTATTTAATTAAAATTTTTTATTTTATTATAAAAGGGTTGACTCTTTTAACAATGTTTTTGGACTATGCTTTAAGTTTTTGGTATGGCTCTAAGCTGATTGCTGATGGCACAGTTAATGATATTGAAAATCGTGTTTACACTTAGGGAGATATTTTTGTTATATTTTCATCTATATTGATTGGTGGCTTTTCAATTGCATAAGTTGGTCCTTGTCTGAAAAATTTTGAAATAGGAAAATAAGCTGCATAAAAAATATTTTATGTTATTGACAGAAAGCCACTTATTTAAATACCCTAAAACGCAAGCAAAATATCTAATTTGTAAGGAAAGATTTAATTTAACTGTGTGGAATTTAACTATCCTGCCAAAAAAGACATTCCTGTTCATAGAAAATTAAGCTTAACTATCTAGCCAAATAAAAAAACAGCTCTTGTTGGAGAATCTGGGTGTGGTAAATCCACTGTCATGCAACTTCTCTTACGTTTTTATGATCCAGATAATGGTTCTGTAACAATAGATGGATAAGACGTTAAATCTCTTGATTTCAGATGGTTAAGAAATCGTGTTGGGTAATTAATTTATATTTCCTATATTTTGTTAAGTAATAAATTTTATTTAAAATTTTTAGGTATGTTGGATAAGAGCCAGTGCTATTTGCTACAACAATCCGTGAAAATTTGAAATTCGGTAAAGAAGATGCAACAGAAGAAGAAATGATACAAGCACTTAAATAAGCGAATGCTTGGGAGTTTGTATAGCTTTTAGAAAATAAGTTGGACACTTATGTTGGTAATGCAGGTAGTTAAATATCAGGAGGGTAAAAATAAAGAATTTGTATAGCTCGTGCTATACTGAAAAACCCTTAAATTCTTTTACTTGATGAAGCAACTAGTGCTTTAGATAGAAAAAATGAAGCCATGATTTAGTAGACCTTAGATGAAATTTCTAAAGGAAGAACAACAATAGTAATAGCTCATAGACTATCTACTGTAAAAAATGCTGATGAAATTTTGGTACTAGATTAAGGTAAACTTGTAGAGTAAGGTACCTATGAGCAATTAATAGAATCACATGGAAAATTTGAGGCTTTAGCTAAAAATCAAATATAAAAGGAGATGGAGGAAAAATAAGAAAAGAAAAATAAAAAGGTTTTAAATGAAAAATCTCATGATGAAAACGAAATTATTAGAAAGTAAAGCAGTAGCCATACTCAAAACAATCAAAGAAAATCCTCAATTACGAGAAAAATATCTGAGAATCAATCTAAAGAGCAAGAAATTTAAGAGGAAAAAGAAAAAAGAGAACTAAAGCTCAAACAAAAAAAGGAAGATGATTAACTTTTTAACAGGTTATTCGAAATGAATAAGCCTGAAAGAAAGTATTTTTATGCTGGTATGGTCTTTACTTTAGCAAATGGTGTTTGCTTTCCATTGAGTGGTTTGATTCTTGGTGAATTTATTGATGTCTTGGCCAAACCTGATGCTAGTGATTTTAGATCAAAAGCAGGCTTGCTTTCAATTTACTTTGTTATATTAGGTGCTATTTCTCAAGTACTCTCAATTTTCTAGCATTCACTTTTTACAAGAGTTGGTGAAGGTTTAACTTTAAGAGTAAGATAAGAATTGCTTAAAAAGATGCTTAAAATGCCAGGAGGGTGGTTTGATAAACCTGAAAATAATCCAGGTACTTTGAGTGCACGTTTAGCATCTGATGCTTAATTAATAAATGGCCTAACATCAAATATTATTTCTGTTTAAATTTCAAATTTTTCATCTTTGGTGACAGGTTTAGTAATTGCATTTGTTATGTCATGGAGAGTAGCATTAGTGTCAGTAGCGGTGTGTCCCCTTATAGTAATTGCAGGCACCATATAAGCTAAGTAGGTAGAAGGATTCAGCGAAGGTAGTGACAAAGCCTACAAAGATTCTAGTATGATCATTATGGAGGCGGTAACAAATATCAGAACAGTTGCTTCTTTCTCAAATGAAAAAAAGTTATGCTTTTTCCTTTCTGAGACATTAAAAAAGCCTTACAAATTATCTTTCAAAAAAGGGCACATATCTGGAATAGCTTTTGGATTTTCTTAATTAGCAACCTTCTCTGTTTATGCTATTATTTTTATTTGTAGCGCAGTTTTCGTTAGAGATTACGGAGTTACAGCTCGTGAAATGTTTGTTTCTATCTTTGCTATATTAAATGCTGCTGCTGCAGTTGGAAATAATAACCATTTTATGGGAGATGTTGGTGCAACTAAAGCTGCTTGCAGAGAAATATTTAAAATCCTTGATTCTGATGATGAAATATAAATCTAGTAAAAGCATCGTAAAAATCTTAAAATGGACGATCATCCCTTAGTTACAAAAAAAGTTTTTGGAGAAATTGAATTTAAAGATGTTTCATTCAAGTATCCTACCAGAGATGCTTAAATATTTAAAAATTTATCATTTAAAATACATGCTGGATAGAAAGTTGCATTTGTTGGTCCAAGTGGATCTGGTAAATCTTCTATATTGTAGTTATTGTTGAGATTCTATGACGACTATGAAGGTTAAATTTTGGTTGATGGAGAAGATATTAGAAATTATGATATTAAAGAATTTAGAAAAAATTTTGGTGTTGTGAGCTAGGAGCCTATTCTATTTAATGGCACAATAGCTGAAAATATTAAATACAACACTGCTGATGTAACTATGGATGACATCAGGGAAGCAGCTCATAAAGCAAATGCACTTTCATTCATAGAAACAGATGAGAGTGAAGAACAAGAATTAACTGATAAAAATGTTAATTAGCATAAAAGTGGTAGAGGGTTTGATAAGAAAGTTGGGCTTAAGGGAAGTTAAATTTCAGGAGGATAAAAATAAAGAATTGCAATAGCTAGAGCTGTGATTAAAAATCCTAACATAATGCTTCTAGATGAAGCTACTAGTGCCCTCGATTATGAAAATGAGAAAATTGTTTAAGAAGCTTTAAATAAAGTTATGAAAGGAAAAACGAGTTTGTGTGTAGCTCACAGATTATCTACTATAGCTGATAGCGATTAAATCTTTGTAATTGAAGGCGGTAAGCTTGTTGAATAAGGAACCTATGAACAACTTATGTCCAAAAAAGAATATTTTTATAGATTAAATGCAAATTGAAATTTTACTTATTAAAAAATTTATTTTAAATATTTTTTATATTATTTATTTTTTCTGTAATTTTTAAATTAAATTAAAAAATATTTTGAAATTAAATTAAGTTTTGATATTTTTTAATAAATATTATATTAGAAAAGAAAGTAAACTTAAATTTAAAAATATTATATTTATTAAACATAAAAACGATAAAAATCAAGGCATTATATTTTTGATAAAAGATTATAAAATTAATTTTGTTAATAGTAAATAAATTTTTATATTTACATAAAATTAATTAACTTTGTTTTTTGATTTTATTTTAATTAAGCTATATTAATTTTAATAATGTTATTTTCAACTATCCTCTATAAATCTCACTAAATAAGGCCATTTAGGTCTCTTGGAGTTTAGCAGTGAATTTGTGAGAGTAAATAAGTATTTAAATTATTTAATAACTAAATTAAAAAAATATTTTACTAATGTTAAATTTCAAATATTTAATATGTAGGATATTAAATCTTAAGTTTATATAAATAAAATATTGATTTAATTTAATTTTTGATAATTTGCTGCCAAAATAGATTTAATTAAAGTAGAACATAAAATAATATTTTGTTATTTACATATTTTAAACTATTATATTTATGTTAATATTTATCTAACTATAATAAGGTATAATTTATTAAATTGTTTACTTTATCATTATTAGGATGATAAATGATGTATTTTTTACTACTGTAGAAAGTTTAAATAGTTTTTATATGATTCAGCAATCTTTTTTTTTTATTTAATTATAAAGTAAATATCTAAATTAGTTTCTCAAAATTTATTTACCTTATTTCTAGCCATCTCTGTTTAAACAATTGTGTTATTTAATTCTGATTTTTCATTTTACTTTTTTACCAAAAATTCTAACATTTTACAAAATAAAACTTAGTAATTCATTTTTTTTAAACTTAATTAATCAATAAAATACCTTCTAATTCATTGAGGCGATTGGTAAGTATTTATAATTCTTATTCTGTTTTCATTAATTATTACTATTCTGCATATATTTCTTAGTCAATTTAAACCTTTTTGGTTTTCATTACATCAATTTATTTAATGAGATCACTTAAATTTTGCTACATATTATCTCCAACTTTATTACTCATACACTTGATAATATTTTGTTTATTTTGAATTTTTGAAAATTTACAGCAAAAATTAATTTTTTATTATATTTTTATTAACAATTATTTGGTTAATTATCAAATAGCAAAAATTATCAATCATTAAATGAACCACACATCAAAAAATAAAATAAATATAATAAAATTTTAATTTATTATTTATAAAAACAGTAAATATTATGTATGCAGTATGTATGTATGTATTTATGGAGAATATTTCTAAAATTTTATATTTTTAAATTTAATTTAATTTTATTAAGAGTTTTATTAATATTAAAGATCAATATCTTAATGCCAGGAAAGCTGCAACACCAGCAACTATCCACATACTTTCATCTCTATCAGAGGGGAGTTCTAAGAACATTACAAAGTTTGTTGAATGCCCAGTAGTACTAAGAGTACCAGCTCTTGAAACAACTTTATAGAGAGGACAGTTATAAAATCCAGTTTTTTGCACTACTCTATTAACTACTGGTACTAAATGAATGAGAGGAAGATTAGAGAATAGCTCTTTAGGATTGGAGTCTTATAGTAAATGACTGTGATGATCCCATCTAGCTCCTTCAATAAACATACCATAAATATAACAACCAGTTTCAGGTTTTTCTTTGATGTCATTGTGTGTTTTATTATCAATTATATCAAATTTAAATGATATCTTTTATTAATTTTTTAAATGTTAAATATATAATTAAAATACTACTTTATAATATTTACTTTATCAATGGCAATAATGTTCTTTCTTGCATAATTTTAGAGCATACCAGTAATGAATGCTTGAGGGAAGAAGAAACCTTTTTAAATTTTGGAAAAATTTATAAAAATAAATAAATAAATTTTGAGTTATTAATTAATTTACCTGAAATCCAGAATACTTTAGGTGTGCCATGATCAATCCAATTCTACAAAAAGGTAATTCTTTCATTTAAGTCTTATGTCCATGAAGAGAGAGGTTTCAATGAAAGGAAACCTTTTTCAGCCCAAAGTTTTGGAACTTAATTATCATATAATGAGTTAGCAAGCTTTTCTAATTCTTCTGACATAACCTATAAGTTTATTAATTTAAAGAAATAAATAAATGTATTTTTGGTGATATGAAAAAAAATTATTACAACTAAACCCTTTAAAGCCTTTTTAACATTGATAAGAGAGGTTTTCATAATAGCTAGCAATCTATTATATCTAACAATTTCCTAAACTAACACAGTATTCATAGACTCATTGTAATCAGTTGGGTATTATTAGAAAATAGCTTCGAAGTTAAATTCTTAGGGTGTTCTAGATTATACAAAGTTAGCAATTTCTTCAATCTTTTCTTCTCTTGACTATCCTTTGCCTGAGCTTGTTCTTGGTTGCACAGACAAAATAGTTTCAAGTAAGATTCTATTTTAAAAAAATAATTTAGAATAAAATTTTATTGATCTTAAATACCTTGTTAAGTTTTATGAGTTTGTAATTTCAGCATTATCATGTAGACCGAAAACTTCTGGAGAGGGATTGAGAGGAAGTTAATCAATATAATTCATATAATCAGAATGTTCACCAGCTTCTGGAGAGTAATAAATACCACTCTTAGAAAATTGATACTTATCCTCTAATATATTTGGATTTATGTAAAGCTTTAAGATGGACTTAATTAATAACACATCTTTATCATCCGTAACTCTACCACCATAGTTAATTTCAGCACCAAGATAATTTAATACCTATTTAATTAAATGAAAAATATTTATTTTATTTTTGATTTCCATTAGTTTTACCTTGTAAGGAATTTCTTCGTATTCATCTAAAAGCATCTTCAATTATCTTTGGCACACAGTTAAATCTTCCATTGTAAATTCGTATGGTATATTCCAACCTATAGGACCGAATTTTCTTCTATCTTAGATAATAGCATGGAAGAAGCAGAAACCAAATAGTAGCTTTTTATACTCATTAGGTTTTTTACAATCATTAAGAGAGTCATCAGTCATACCTGCATAGCTTCTCTTTAAGTTTGCTCTTAAACCTTTAATTAAGTTTTTAATTTTTATGTTTTGTTTTAATGGGATTTAAAAATGATCTACCTTAAGGTGGTTCAAGAGTCATCTTTACACCATTTTAGAGTACAGAAATTGGGAAATCTTTTGTGGGCATTGATGTTAACCAAAGACGGAAATCCTTATGGAGATTTTCATTAAAATCTTCTACAATACGTTCTAAGTCTGGCATCCAAGATATAGCTAAATGGCAGTTTTGTAAAAGTACCCAACCTCCCCTTTGAGTAGCTTCTTTAATCATTTTCTCAGCCTTTGGTCCTTAGCCCTAACCAAGGGAAATTGTATAAATTCTGTTTTCCATTTCCTTTTTAAAATGTAATGATAGTGTTGAGTAAAGAAAAAAATAAATAAATTTTTTTACTTATTCAGCTGAAAAACGCTAAAAGTCTGCAACTGGGTCAGAACCAGCAGACAATACAAAAATTAAAGGTGTTGTAGTCATTGAATCTTTAAAGCATTTGCTGATATCGAAGATTGGAGGAATGATAAACTCTCTTCCTTAATTATGTTCTATCCATTTCTCAACAGCGGGAATAATCTTTTTGACAATAAATAAATTAGATTTACATTAAAAGAAAATATGCTGTTACCTTATCAGATCTAATAGCTTTTAGGATAATCATTTTTTAGAAATCATTTAATTTAGAATTCCAAGGTTCAGGTAAAGGATCTAAGTGAGGATTTTATGAATCAAATATAGGTCTGAATAAATCATAATCTTTCATAAAGAATTCTTCAAACCCTGCAAAATTTGGTAGTAAATTGATACCATAAATTTATCTATACATGTCAATCCAACTGTTTTCATCAACCCACGAAGTTGGGTTGTTTTAGATTTTGATATCACCACCTGGGCCACTTAAGAAATACCTCCATTCTTCCAGATTCATTTTGTTATCACCCTTTAAATAAATAAATAAATCATAAATTTTATTAAGAATTGCTGATTTAACTTAATTTTATTTACTTGAATAATTTGAACTGTAAGCATAAGAGAGAAAATTAATTTATGCTTCTCAAATAAAGATCTACAAATATTTTCATATAGAGAGTAGGTAAAGTATTTATTTAAGTTTTCTAAACGAACGTCATGCTCTTTTGAAGCAGGAGCATTTTCAATACCCATTTCAAATAGTTTAGAGAACCATTAGAGAGAATATTCATACATAGGGTCTATAACGTTTAAGTCTAATATACAGAAGAAAAGTAAAGATGCTCTAAATGCCACTGGTCTATATCCTTCTCTGGTCTTATCGATTTGTTGTTCTGTAATCTTAGAATCTTACATTCTTTAGTTGATTTCAGCAGCGAATTTCTTTGCATTTTAAAGAGTGTTAATCAAGGATTCATCCATCAATAATTCTGAAATATCATCACTTGCTTAAAGAGATCTTAAAATTTCATCTTCAATTTGAAGTAAAGATTTTTTATCCTAATCAATTAAAATAATCATAAATAATATATTTTATTAATAAAAATTAAATACTTCAGCATTTCTCTTTACGATTTCTGTCTTCTTTTGCTCAAGCTATGGATTTTCGAGCTCAACGACTTTAGCTAACATTTAATCTTCCATACCTTACCTTGTAATGGCAAAATTGATGATACAAACCTTTTATTTATTTATTTAATTAAAATTTAATCAATTATTTAAAAATGACTCTAAATAGTATTTACTTTAACAAATGTTTCAGGTGAATAATGAGGATTTGGGTTTGTAGAAGTCATAAAGAATTTAAAGTCAGGGCTGACAGAGATAGTTTTTTCTCCTAAGGTTAGCTCTAATCCATTATTTGTCTTAACAAACTATTGTAAAAGAATAGGCTCAAGTGAAGGATCTAAATCTTTACCCACATTTTCAACCAAAACCCATTTACCTGCTCTGAGTGCCATTTCTAAAGTTTTGATTAAATTTGAATCACTCATCTTTAAAACATCTATGCCTGACTTGCAAATGTCAGTATTTCCTAAATTTTTTATGTATTTATTAGCTTGTGTTTGGGGATCAATCATAAGAGGCCATCTCCTGGATTATTCTATAATGATACCATTTTCTATAGAAGTATCATCTTTGGGTAAACCAGCTAGATTCCATTGTTATATAAGAACTGGTTTACCTAAGAATTTACTCATTGTAATTCCAGCAGTATGTTTAACTTCAAGCTATTTACCAAAGATAAATATAAATTTGAGAATAAAAATTCAAAACAAATTATTTTATACCTCATCTAACTTTTTAATCCATGTTTTTTCTAAAATTTATCTGTAAAGACTGATAAAAGGCCCTGAATAAGCAACCATACCTGCACCGATTACTGTATCACCAGGGATAAGAATTTCATTATTTTAAAGTATTTCAATATCTTTTGACCAACGTACCTTAATTAAGAAAAAAATTTTTTTTTAATAATCTAATTTAAGAGATTTTCTATACCTTTTCGTCAGATAAACCACTTGTAAGTTTCTGAGCCCTATCAAGCTTAAGCTAGCATTCAGCTATGTCATTAGTAAGCTTTTCTTTCTTAGCAACTGTTTCATTAAATTATTCTTCTAATTTTTTTATTTTATTTTGAATTTCTTCTAAGGCGTCTTTTTTAATTTTAAGTTCAGCCATCTTTTCAGAAACAATTTTTTCAAACTTTTCTAACTTGTCTCTGAGAGGTTATGTTTCTCTGAATACTTTATTAAAGTCATACATAGCTTAGCACCATGAGAAAATATATTTAATAGCATGAGAGCATGTTTTAGCCTTTTCCAAAGACCAATCTTCATGACTCAATATCTTTATTTAGTAATGAATTAAATTTAAAAAATTTATATTGGTTGTAAAAAGAAAAATTTTACTTTTTCTTCTAACTTTTTAATGTATGCTTGATTAATATTTTCTTTCTTAAAATTCAAAAGAAGATCTAATAATTCTTTTGGATCAGCAAGTAACCATTTTTTAGCTGTGTTGAAGTAATCTTCTTCCTTTTTACCTGTTTTTAATTTATGTTTTAATAAACAAAATTTAAAAATAAATATTTTTACCTATCTATCCTTCTATATTTTTTAAAATGATCTAACCTCCCTTTTCCTTTAAAGTGTCTTGTAAAAGGATAGTCATACCTCCTAAAATTGTTATACAAGCTGAAGGAGGATTAGGAAGTGATTTAACTTCTACCAAGTGATCTTTTTTAAGCTTACTAACCTCAATTAGAGTCTCATCTAAAATCTTATTTGCTTCTTCGACGGACTTTTCTGCTTCATCCTTTAGTTTTTGAGCTTCATTAGCAGACTTTGTTGCTATAGCTTCTTCTTCTGAGACTATTTTTTATTTCTCATCTGCTTCTTTTTACTAAATTTCAATTGTTTTCATCATTTACTCTGTATCTATAGCTGCTTACTCTAATTTTGGTTACATATCAGTTAATTAAATTTGCATTTCATTCACCTAAATGTTGGCATCAATCAATCTATCAAGACCATTTTTTAGTCTTGTGATTGAATTCTTTAATTCTACACGCTTGGTTTTCATGATTGTCTTAAACATAGTCAATAATTCAAGATAACTTGTAGGAGTTACATAATTGATACGACGAAGCTCAAGTTAATATTTAACTGAAATTTTCTCTACACTTTTATGAATAGTTTTGAAAGACTCAACCAATTTATCAGCTAATTCATTTTCTATACCAACCTCTTCTTAAAAGTCCTATAATTAACCTTTACCAACACCAATAAGAGCTTCTTCAGGCCACTCTGTAAACCAATCTAGGGTACAACAATTAACTAAACTGGGGAACATTCTTAATCTAGTAGAAAACATTGAAGACAGAGGACTCATTGCAATGACTAAGTGAATGTTATTTGTAACTCTTCTTAAATATTAAGAGAATACATTCATTTTATTAGGTTGAAGATTTCTTTTGATACACTCATTTTTGCAAGCATCTACTATTTCTTCTATGTCTTTTTCCTAATACAAGTTAGTAACATCACCAGAATTTAGAATACTGTTTAGATCTTCAAGCATTTACTCGTTTATAATTTAAGTATCTACAAACAAGAAAACTACTGGATCATCATCGATACCAGCCATCATTAAAATCTGATAAAAAATATATTTATTAATTTTTTTTTAATTATAATATAATAAATTTGTTTACTTTCTTAATATCTTCTCTCCAAGAACGCATATTATAATTTTTTATAACTTCTATCTATTGTAAGCGGTAACCTGCAATAAAAGTAGCCATTTTACTCAAGCTTTATCTTCCAGAACCACCAACACCAAGTAGAAGCGCATTACCTTTAGGCTATCTAAGAACTCTTGTTATTCTACTAATATGCTCACATGCATCTAAGAAGAGTACAAGTTTCATCATAGCTTTGCCTTTCTTTGTAAAGTCTGGGTCTTAATTATACTCTTCTTAAAATTCTTCCATTTTAGTCATTAATTACTTTAAGTTTGGTATTTAAATATAAGGTCTGCTTTCAGTTTCTCTGCCAAACCAGAAATCACCTAAAAATATCAAATATTTAAAATATTTAAAAAATATTAACTAATTTAGAATTACCAAAAATAATCCTATCCATAGAAAGAACTTCTTCTTTAGTTAGATTAAACTTCTCAAATTGGGAAACAAGCATATCTTTCAAATAATCTCTATCTTCGTCATCAATAAGTCTATCATGGAAGATACGCATATTTTCATGATACCACAATTTGGCCATATCAGAAGGCTCGACACAGTGCTTATTGCTAGCAGCGCAAATACCTTAGAAAACTTTACTGATATCTCTTAAGTTAAATGTATAGTGAGATTTTCTAGGAGTGGGAAGAAGCTCGTTTCTAACTCTATAATAAACAACTAGAACTGTATTTACAAGTTCTGGGATCATTCCTCTTATATTATCATTGAATTTATTCAAAAAGGCATTAATTAAAGTTAAGAAAATAGTCTTGATTGTTTCTTCATCTAAATCAGTATAACTTATAACATTAAAATGTCTTAGGCATCTATTGGTAATATTTGATCTACCACCACCAGGAGGACCCATAGCACTTAAAATGATCAAGTCATCAAGACGCATAAACTAAAGATCTTTTCTATTATACCAACCACCATGATCAAAATATTGACGGATAAGTTCAATAGGGGGTTAGGCACCATATTCTTCTTTCTTAGGCATGTTAAGATCATCAACAAAAATAATGCATTTTTTACCAATAGGAGGACCATAAATACCTTTTCTTCTTCTATCTAATTTGGTATCAATTGTATCTTATGTTTGATTTGCAGATGTTTAAGCACTAAATGTCAAAGCAATATATTAATATGAATCACTTAATCCATTACTAAGCAGAGAGTAAGCATTAAGTGATTTACCTGTACCAGTAGGACCTGGGAAACAAACATGATAATTATTTGTAAGAAGCAACTTCATCATGTAAATATTTCTTGTGGAATCATTTGTTGGAATCATAATTTCATTGTAAACTAATTTTTCAATTTCGAAATTCTTGTAATTTTCACTCCATGACTAGAATTCCTTTGTGTTTTCATTAAATTAGTAGTCGTAAACCATACCTATAAAATTTAAAAAGAGAGTTTAATAGATAGATAATTTATTTATGCAAGTATATCAAAATTATAACCTTAATAAGGGAATTATATTTTAGATTTATTTATGATCATTAACTATCTAATGAACTAACTGAATTTTTCTCTTCCCTCATAATCAACAGTACAGCATATACTCCAAACTAAACTGAAGATTAAATAGCTTTCTAGCACTAATTCGAAATTATCTACATCTTCAGGTTATACTTTTTTTATTTCAGTTTCTTTGTAATTTGCGAAATAGCAATTCATCACTCTAAATAAGCTTTGAGTGAGGTTATTATCCACAGTGCTAACAATTTCCTTGCAATTTTACCTTAAAAATTCAATTGATTTCTCTACATATCTGTCAAAGAATTCTTCTAAAGTTTTCTTTATTGTGGGTCTATCACATTTTTCAGGGAGTGTATTAATCCAACTCTAAAAGAGAGGTTTCAAACCTAATGAAATAGGTTCCATATAAACCATACCGCATCTAGAAACAGTAGCAGGAGAAGCAACCTAAAAATATTTATTTAACTTAATTGAAATAATTCTCAAGAAAAATAATTTATACAAGTAAATCTTCGACTTCAAACATCATAGTCATATAAGGTGTTAATGTGAGAATCATACCACTATTAAGACAAAGTTTTTTATTGTCATCAAGAACTGTGTTCATATTTTCTATCCAGATAGCATCAACAGGCCCATCAAAAACAATCCAGTGTCTTTCAGAAGACTGATCTCTACAAGCTTCTCTAACAGTGTATGCCAAGATACTGTAAATGTAAAAAATTATAAAATTAACCAAAATAATTTTTTAAAGAAAGAAAAAGGAATACCCATCATTCCATTCTCTTGTTTGTTCATTGAATTATCCGTATAATTAACCCATAGTAATACTTTTAGGATTCATATTATGAACATGGACTTTATAGAAGCCATTGTTCTCTAGTTTAGTAAGAGCTTTGGATAATATTTTCATATTAGAACTCTTACCACCTCCTGTAGGACCTACAAGCATAAGTCCGTGTCTAACTTAAATAGTATCATAAAGTTAAAGTACTTTTAAGTTAAAGCTTTCTTGTGGTTATAAATTTGATTCAATGGTAGTTTAAGTGATAGAGTTAAGAAGCTCTCCATAGTCAATCTTTGGTCTCTCTACACCAGGGAATAAATCCTAAATAATATTTTCGAAAAGGGGAAGATCATCCTTCAAAAATTTAGGAACATTAACATCTCTCAAGGCTCTAAGTAAAAGCTAATTTTCATCCTATATTAAAAACAGTTATAAATTTTAATAATTATTTTTAAAATTTAAGTTATACCATATCAGGATCTGCAGCTTTTAATAAACCAGCAGCATTGATAACACTTCTAACTGCTCTCATACCATAATCATAATGATCTTGAGAAGAAAGCTACTCAGAAGAAAGCTTAAATGTAACAACCATTTTTTTAGCCAAATCTCTACCAAGTTTAAAACCAAAGCTATAAAGCATAATTTCACCTTTCATTTTTAAATATTTATTTATTAATGACTTCTAAAATAATAATAAAATTACCAATCAAAGCATAATCAGGTACCATCATCGCTACTGATCTAAAAAGTGCCTTTAAATTATCAGGTAATTCTGTACGACCAGCATAACCAGGATTCATTGTAATAAAAACGCAGAAAGTTGGCTTAAGCTTAATGTCACTACCTTCAAAATTTTCTACCTAAATTTCATATTAATAAAGTTTAAAAAAAAGTAAAAAAAATATTTTTTTAATTTAATTTTAAAACTTACAAACTCACTTCCTTTAGCTTTTTCACCAAATAAAATTAATAATTATTGAGCTATAACTGAAAGAACTTCAATATTAATTCTATTGAACTCATCAAAGCAACACCATGCACCAGCACTAGCTAAACCCTTAAAGAATTTTCCGACCATAATATAGTCCATACTATCTGAACAGTTAAAGACAACACACTACTTAGCTAATCCTTTAGCTAAATCTTTAACTGATTCAGTTTTTCCTGTTCCTGCTGGACCTGAATTATATAAAAATTTTAATCTATGTTTTATAGTTAAATAATTTACCTGCTGGAGCACCTCCTAGATTAAGCTTAAGTGCACCCATAAGTGTCATATAACACTTATCAGTCAAAGGAGTAATAACTAATCTGAGGGTATTTCCTAAATATTCATATCCGTAGGGGAAATTAGTTTACACACATTTTACACGACAGTCATTGTTTTCCCAATAGTATCTTAATTATGAAATCCATTCAAAGGCACCAATTTCTGTGACTTTATTTTCTTCAAGATTTTTAACCTTAATTAAAATAAGAATTTTGTCATAAATATTTGAAAATTCTTTAATAAAAAATAATAAGTATCATACAACATCTTTAGCATGCACATCAAGCACGATTAAAGCATTGATAGTAACTTTTTGTTACTTTGTTAATTTTTGTCTAACTAAGTCTACTAAGCAAATAAGTTATTCCTAAGACTTCTCCCAAAATTGTGTTATCTAATTAGCTTTAATTGCTTCTTCTACCTCTTATGTCCATACTATCTAACTACCATTTAAGATACATTAACCAGGGTGATTAAGTACCCACTAATCTCTTGACTTAGTGTGGTAATCTTTAACTGATTTAAGAAGACAAGACTTTACTGATTCTTTCATCATTTCTTCTACTTCATTCATCCAGTCCTCAACATTCTTATTTATTGGGTCAATGTATTTAACAAAAGGAACCTTGAATATTATATTTTAACCTTAATAAATATGGTCTGTTAAATTGAATAGTATTTACTTTTTCTTTTTCTGCAGAGAACATAGCATGCATTTTTTTTGTGTCATCAAATTCTAATTCAGCTATGTTTTCAAAGACTTTTCTTAAATGGGGTTGGACTGCTGTTGGTTCTTTTGTTTGAGAAAGAATTTCAAGAAGTTCATCATTAGAAAGGAAATAGAAACGAGCAAATCTTTCTCTTTTTCTTTCTAAATAGTTATTAAGCTCTTTTTGAATCATATCAAGATTTTTGTTACCATCTTACAATTTTTCAAGCAATCCTTCCATTTAGCAAACCTAATTAAAAAAGTTTATTTATTTGAGTGAACTAAATAGTATATTTTAAACAATAAATTACTTTGAAAACCGATTAAGTTTGCTTGGCATAATTCATTGTGTGCTTCCAATTTTAATCTACAGTTTTGAACTTTTTAGTTTCACCTGGCAATTACTTTGCAATATCTGGAGAGTCAAAAATAGGTTGTAGATACATCCAATTCATTTGATATTTAGCCCATTCTTCTAAAATTAAACTCATCAATTTAAGCGAGTCATTCCATTCAATCAATTCTTCTTCAAATGGCTTTTTAAACGGAGAGAATTACATACTTTGAGTATTAACAATATGCTCATCAAGAACAGTATTAATTTCATCATATCCTCTAATAATCTATTTAAAATTAACAAATATTAAATAATAAGAAAAAAAATAATATATTTACAAATGAAGCTTTCCAAGGTTTAAGGTCAAATTTAATTTCTTCCCACTTTGCTTTCATTTCCTTTAAGCTAGTTTCTATAGAGAATTCCTTTGAAGCTCTTTCACCTACTTCTTCACAGAATTGAAGATGAGTGAGAAGACCCATGTCAATTAGTTTAGTGAAAGTAAAATCTTCTGTAGGCTCTACTTTGAATCCAACTTTATCAGAAACTTATTTCCAATGTCTTTCTTTCATACCATTTTTACGTAAAGCAACCATTAAAGGAACTTAGGGTCTAAAAGCATCTACTTAACTTTTAACTGCTTAGGCTATCTTTAGAACACCCTAAATATCCTTATCTTTGAAAAATTTAATAACTTAATTGTAAGTTTTAAAGGCATTATCAACGAACTTTTCGCACTCAATAGCATTAAGTTCATTCCAAGGACCATTTCTCCAAACTTCAATATTTTTGAACCACTTTTATAAAAAGAAACAAATAATTCAAATTAAAATTTAATAGAAGCAAATTGATTACTTGATTAGATGTTGTCCAAAGATTGAAATAAGGATCAAAATCTTTTTTAATTTAAGTAATTTTAGAGTAATCAGTAAGTTCTTTTTCGAAGAGTTGTTCTTAATTGTTAAACTTCTTGGCTTTATCTGTAAATTCTTTTAGCTTTTGTGCCAAATCACGGCAGACTCCACTTACAGTTCCATGATCTTTGATATTTGTATATGTGTGGAAATTTTATATGATTCTTTCAGCTTCTTCAATATCAGTCTTGAAGTTTTCTTATTCGTGTTCCATTCTATCTTTAAATCTATGCTTTTCCTTTTCAAGAATTGCTTTTTGGTCTTCAATTGTTTTAATAATTTCTTTAGGACCTCCGAACACTTACCATTTTTTTTTTAGTTCATCTTCAGTAAATTTGAAATTGTAATTTTCCATAATTTAATATATTTCCATAGATTTCTCAATATCTTTTTTCATTTTTTCTAACTCAGAAGGGATAATTGCCATCTTATCTGTTATGCTTGTTAATTCTTCAATATTCTCTGGTGGTTTGGTTAATTTCTATTTAATTCCTCCAATTTCTTTGAATAAATCTTAAGTCATAGTCTTTCCTCTATTGGCAATTAACTCAATAAGCAGCTTTTATGTTTGAGCATACTTGTTTTATAAATACCTTTAAAGAAAAAAATGAAATTAAATGGTTGTATTAAATGATATTTGTGTATGTACTGAGTTGTGTCTTTACAATTAATTTCAAAGCTTGAAACTTGTATGATTTCAGGCATAATAGCAACTAGAGCCTTTTCTTTCTTAGCAATATTTTCTATTTCTGTTGTAATAACACTTATGTCTTTAGGATTTTCTTTATCATCAAATCCTTTGCAATATTCTTCAGGATTTAATTTGAGTAGAGACTGATATTAATAAGTAATTTAATAAGAATTAAATATAAAAAAATAATGAATTTACTTTATAAGGATCATATTATTTTAAATATTCGTCAAGAGGTTGTATTGATTGTTCTAATTCTTATGTCATCAAAGCAAATAACTCATTTACCCACTATTAAGACAAAAACTCATAAAAATAATTGATATTGTTATTAATTTTACTTTATTTTCATCAAATTGTTGGTCTTCCTTAGAAATGAAAACTTCTCCTTCATTTATTTATCTTTTAGGACTTTTTATAAAAATTTCTTTCAACTATGACATCTTTCTAAACAAATCTTGCATAAGAGAACGCTCAACTGAGGGTATTTTTTATAATTCATCTACTAGCTTATCAAATAACATTTAGATTGTAGATAAGAAATACTTAGGTTAAGTTGAATAGAAGAACTCTTAATCTTCATTGTTTTTCATTAATTCAATAGTAAATAGAGGTTTTACAGCATTAATAGAAATTTAAGTATCTGGATTTTTAGAATCAACAATTACATTATTTTTATACTCATTAATCACGTGGTTTGGTTTTAATATAGTAACCTGCATAAATATAAATAATAAAAAAGTTGTTATTTAAATCCTTTATTTATTTAATTTTACTTTTTCTGGGACATATTGTGAAAGATAGGCCTAAAAGTTTTTGAAGCTTTTTTAGCAAAGAGTCAATAAACTATCTTGCATAGTTATAATAACTAAATTAAAGAATTTTTTCAATTTTCCACTCTCATAGGCAACCTATTAAATAAAGATAAAATTTCATATTTCTTAATTTATTTTCAAAGCTTAAATACCTTGTTAGTCTCTTTGAGATTTAACCATCCTTTATCAGATTCAGAAAATTCATTAAAAATAATTTTTTCAACATTAGGTACCCAATCTAATCTTAGTCTATTAACTATTTTATCGATTTCAGTTTCTTGATCAGATTTAAATTCATCTAATCTATTTATTTTAACAGTAAAAATAAATTTAGAAATATCCTTATACATTTACAATACCTTTGAGGTTATTAAGGACGCAAAAGCTTGAAAAACTCATAATCCAAAATTTTATTGCATTCAGTACGAATCTATTATAAAGCAGATATAGCTTCAGGAGTAATTAAAAACGAAGATAAACAAAATTCCTTGAAAATTTCAGTAAAATCACGAGCTTCACTTTCATAAATCTCATATGGTGAATATAATACAATTTCCTTTGCTCCTTTATCCTTTTCTAGTAATAACATCCCTTTTTCTGGAACTTAACTCAACAATTCTTCTTCTTTTGGAGGAAGAACTAATTAGTGAGGAACAAGATCCCTATAATAAAATTGTATTTTATAAATTTCTTTGAAATAGCATTTTAAAATTACTAATTTTGCTCATTTAAGTATTTTTCAAATATGATACTATTCATAGTGTATGAATATTCTGAAGAAATCTCCATAAATAAGGCAGTGACTTCTGCATGTTCTAATCTTTTGTTTCTAACTAAAGTCTCTAAATTTTTCTTTAAAATATTTTAATTTATTTAAAAATTTCATAATTTTTTTTTTTATTAAAACATAAAAAGAATTTAATTTAAAATGATTTTTTAAAAACATGATACTAAAAATGAGTTTTTATTTATCTTTAAATATATCTTAATATTGAAATATAAAATTTTAAGTTACATTTTATTCTAAATTTTTACTCATTTCATCATATTTTAATTTAAATTGAATTTTAATTTTGATAAATTTATTTATTTTATTTTTAAATGAAAATTTAAAATAGTATTTTTTTAATAAATAATAAATTTAAGTCTTGAAAAATGCAATATTAATTAAATACTTTTGTTTTAGCTGACACTTCACTGAGGTGGTCAGTAGGCATAGAAGAAATATAGAATTTGAAACGAATTAAAGAGTCAGCATATAGCCTTTTCTAGAATGCTATTGCAACTCTT